TGGCCTAAGAAACCAGGGTATCTTCTCCTCATGCAAGGTCGAGCAATTCACCCGGAACCTCGTTCTCTCAACCTGGGGGCTTGGCTCTTGAAAAGAAAACTTGTGAGTTAACTTTCTATCAGTAATAAAGACATTGTTGAAGGCAAGAAAATAATTCACGTCTTCCTATTACCACAGAATATGGAACATATTTAAAGAATAGGCTAGTACCAAAGGTCTGGAATTCCTAAACCCATAATTTTGGCCTTCCACCAGGAGGATCTGGATAAAGGACTTGGCTTAAGCACCCTATAAGTACAGGTATCCATTGCTATATCTGCTCCAACCAACACTAGGTGGGCTTTATTAATTCGCTTTTTTTTTTTTTTTTTTTTAAAGAGGTCGTTAATATCACAGCAAAAACAGATGTGAAAAAGGCTGAACTTGGTGGTCGCATGTTTCTTTTCAACTATGTAACCATGTATCAGACCTCCTCTGAAACAATTATCTTCATTATGGGATCTACCTTTGGTTTTGAAGGTCATGACAGAAAATCCTTTTGAGCCCCTTGAGATCACCAGTTTCTTTTTAGTTTCAATTAAGACTTAGTTCTGCTAGGAGAGTCTCTGAACTCCAAGCAATTTCAGAACCTTACACTACTTTTACCACAATCAGGCTTTACTGATTTCTAGACAATATATCCATTCTATTGTGTTTTCTCAGTTTCATTTAAAGCAAGAAATTATTCTACCAACCTTTCTTCCTAATCCGTCAGAAGAACCAAATTGGTGCAATGTGGTTATCATGAAATGTAGATGTGTGAATTTGCAACGATCAGCAGCAATAACAAAATCAGACTATTCTTCCTTCAGGTGTAAGGAAGGGTGAAGCAGCTTCTATTGCTGCCTTGAGATGGATACCAGTGGCAATTGTGAATGTTTATTCAGCACAAGGTTGCAGAGCTACCATTAAGCATTAGGCCAATGGCCCATTTTACAATGAGCTTAGCTACTTCCTGAGTTTCCATGGCAGAGGTATCAAAGGAGACATATGTAAGGTAGCTTCCTGGTCTTTTCATTAGACTTTCATCAAGTATTACAAACTTGATTTATTTTCTACATCGTCCTATTTGGACACCATGTTTTGGCTTCTGTTGCTTTAAGCAAATACAGTCTAAGCAAGTAATTTTTTTGTTTTGTAGTATGATGCTTGGGTATTACAAATAAGAGCCATGTTTAGCCAGGATATTAATTATCTATTTTTATAAAACATTTATAGTAATGTTCTTTTCCTTGCTATGTTACATGGCAGTGTCCCACTTCCTCCCTTCTGGGTTTCCTCTAGTCCAGCTTTATAAGAGACTGGGCAGCTTAGGAAGGAGTGGGCTTTTATATAGCATATTAAATCAACAAATTATTTCTCTCCTGACATCTGGGGAGGAGATTTGCCCATACATGATGCTGCCATGTAACATAGCAAGGAAAAGAAAATTACAGTATTTTATAAAATGTTCATGTTTAAATAACATTGGGTGCAAAGTGGGCTGGGTTTGATGAAGTACAATATCTCTGAAATCAAAGTGTGACAAATACTTGCTTTTGCGACATAGATCAGCATAAACAAATGGTGCATTTGTTTTTAAAATGTAATAGCATTGGGTGCAAAGTGGGCCGGGTTTTATCAATTACAATGCACAATATCTCCAAAGCCAAACCAAATCAACCCAAACGAATGGTTTGCATTTACCCCTCCATTATTACATAAAAAAACAAATAAACCATTTGTTTGTACGGCAAACATAAGCAATTGTGCTGCTTTAGTTTTAGAAATATTGCTAATTACAGTGGATCAAACCTAGCCCACTTTGCACTCTCATATTATTTTGAAAACAAAGTGTGCTAAGTTTTTGGGGGGGCGTGGCTAGCTGAGCAGCTAACAAGACGTGCAAGTGTGGAGCTCCGACTATACACATCGTTTAATACGACGAACTGCCACAAAAAACCTAACAACCAGAACAGATATCCAGACTAATAGTGATCTAAATGCCCCCAACCTCGAGATGGGGCGAAAAAACAAGAAACAAACCTGCCTGGAGGGCTCAAACACGCCAGACATCAGGCGGTCCTTCAGTAGGCCGCAAAGACTAACACAGACCAAGATGGCGCAGGAAAGTGACCAAAGCTCTAGTGAATCGGAGGCATCGCCCCACGAGCGGGGCCCCCCGACCACACAGAAAGCCAATGCAGGTTATCGGACAGGAGAATCCGACTCCGACGACTCGCCCTCTACCAAGGGGGATATCAAAAAGCTGTTACTCGACCTACGGAAGGTATGGAAGTCGGATTTGGACGAGATACGGTCTGAAATAACCAGAGTCACAGCACGACTGGGTGCAGTGGAGAATAGGGAAGGGAACAGAGACATTCTCATTGCCGAGACCCAAACCCAAATGACCTCCCTGACCCAACAAATCCTGAGACTTACCCGCACAGTGACCGCGATAGAGGCCAGACATCGCAAGAGAAATGTCCGCATCCGCGGCGCAACTGAAACTATAGGCCCAGAAGCCTTACTGGAGTTTACTAATAAACTAGCGACCATGATGGGAGCAAAGAAAAATGGTGAACTGCGGCCCATCACAGCGGCATTCAGGATTCGGAAGGCCGCGGCCGCCCCTGCGGACGCACCCAGGGACATTATTGCAATCACACGAGACATTACGGTAAAAGTGGCGATTATGGCTGCCTCCAGAAAGACACCCACCACCATAGTGGACAACCTCCACATCAAGGTATTCGACGACTTACCGTTTGCGACTCTGCTTGAGAGGAGAAGGTTCATGCCGATCACCCGACAGTTAAGAGAACATGGCATCAGATACAGATGGGGTGCTTCTGGCACGCTGGTGGTGCCATACAAAGACAGAGTACTTTCATTATCAGCAGAAGAAGACCCTAAGAACTTCCTACAGGAACTCCAACTCCCCCAGCCAGCACCCCCGGAACGGGGGAGAAGCAAGACCCCCAGCGCCGCAGGCGACAACGCGACCCGGGAGAAAGGCCCTGAGAAGTCAGAGACACAAAGAAGACCAGGCCTGCAGAACCCCCCATAGAACTGTCAGACTACGAGAGGACTGATCACAGGCCTACCTACCTGGCTGGGAGAACTAAACCCCTTACAGCCCCTCAGGCATCTAGCATTTAATTTGAAGTTGTTTTAATTTAAAGTTGTTTTAATTACTGTTGTTATTGACAGTTATAGATGGCCCCATGGTGCCTGGCACCTTGGGTTCAAAACACCTCTCCACACACGACCCCCAACAGAGACATGCGTGACGATGGGGAAATACAGGCACTTAGAGAGAGGGGGTAGGAGACGGACACTATACACACACGGGGGGGGGGTGGAAGGAGAGGGCAAACATCATGCCACCACAGTGCACCACACAGCAAGTCTAGTTACGCGACACCTTAGCAGGGAAAAGTGCACCCCAGACGACCGTATAGCTGAAGTGGAACGTAAACTAAAGGAAGCAAAGAAGACATATAACATGGACAGACGCGATACACTTATAGACTATCAGGCGCACACCAGCAATAATTATCTATGTGACAAATCTCTAACCAACCCCTAGCAACAACGAAATACAAGATACCAAACACTGCAAGCTTCTGGCAGCCACGGCATGCCTAAAGGGAAGCCGGACAGGTCTCCTACTCTCAGTCAGACATAGGCTGACCCCCGCACCGACCATATCACACTCACACGCAAGACACTATTATCATTAATTTCATATTTTCATATGTTTAACTTATCACACTTACGTCTAGACTTACTATTTTTGAAAAATGTTACAACTATCTACCAAAGTCAAATGTTAATGATACCTAGCTATTCACTTACTATTAATCGCTACCGATACCATAGTACGATTTATATCGACCTGTTAACCTGTAAAATTGTGCAGTTTACAAATATGTCATGACATTGTATACCATGAATAGCCAGCAGTTGCCATGAATAGCCAGCACGACTGTTTACTTTATTGCACTATCAAAATAAATTAAAAAAAAAAAAAAAAAAAGTTATAAAAAAAATTCCATTAAAAATTCCTTAAAATTAAACATAAGTATTAATCTCAAAAACTGCAAAAAAAAAAAAAAAAAAGTGTGCTAAGTTTGATCCAATGTAATTTGCCATTTCTCCAAAAACCAAAGTGGCACAAACCTGCACAGACCAATGGTGTGTGTTTTATTAATAACATGAGGTGGAAAGTGGGCAGAGTTTGAACATTTCTAATGCGCAATATCTCAAACCAAATAAACACAAACTTTCATTTTTGCAATGAAAGTACAATTATGTTTTTTTTTTTCTAATATTTTATTCTTATGTAAAGTTGTGTTACACATTCATGTAGGGTATTTAGGATATTATATGAAAATCCTATCTGTTCTTTAAAGGTACACTCCAAGCACCATAACCATTACAGTCTGATGTAGTGGTTATAATGCCCCCCACTGTAGGTAGTCAAACTGTTTATGAACATTTTACTTTGACTTCAAAACTGGGTTCCACAAGACACTACTACCTGAGTCTGCTACAAATGCCAGAAACCAGGAAGTTCTGACAAAGAGGCTTCTGTATACTCTCCTAAACTAAACCTTGCAGTGCAGCAAACTGTAGTGTTTATGGTGCTTGGAGTGTTCCTTTAATAAATTATATGTGTGCAATCTTATCTAATCCATCCCTGACTACTCACTAATATGATGGACCCTGACAAAGCTAAAGTGTAGCAGCGAACAGACTGTTCTTTTCTTTTGCAGAAAATCAAAGGAAATAATAACAACAACATTATACACAAACAATGCAAATATATACGGCTCTTTGTACATGGATGCTTAATTATAAAGAACTGAACTATAGTTTTAATTTACTCCAGTCCTTTTAATTTTAACTAACTTGATTGCTGAATAACACAAATTGAGGTTATGATGATTTTAAAACAAGCATAGAATTAGGAACTGTACATCAAAACCACTGCAATAGTATCACCTACGCCAAAAGAGAGTAATGTGGTGAAAAAACACTTATTTTAATAGATATTGATAACAGCTTCCTCTAGTGATATCCCAGATTGTATCCATTTAAACACAATATAGTTCCAACACAGTATAGAGGATACAACTAAAGATCTACAAAATGAAAACATATAATAGTGCATGCAAATATCTATACAGTGTTGCACTAGAATATGTTTTCATTTTGAAGATCTTCAGCTGGTGGAATTCGGAACTGTGCCTGCCCTATTCATAGGGGTAATGTAGACAGTATGAGTATGCATTGCCCAGCTTAATTAACTATCTAACTAAATAATATAATATCCATCAGTCTCCACAGACAGGGTACTTGTAGGTGCTTACATTAATGTGAACACCGAGGTAACTGTCACCTTGAGAGATTATACAGGCAGCCTGCTTACTGCAAAAAGTGACTTGAGAGCTAGACTTGATCTGATAGCGTTTTACACCAAGTCTTGTTGTGGATGTGATTGTGAAGACCATTATACTTATGTGTAGATATTTCATAGTTTGTGACTACAGAGGTAAACACAGGGCTGGCTGTGTAGCATATTGGAGCACAGTATCTTTCACATATTCCTGGCATAAAACCAAAAAGAATTTCTACATAGTGTGCACTATACCAAATCCCTATGCACATTTAACAGAGGTTTTGTAGCCTTGCAATAGAAACTGTACAGCAATGCAATTCAAAACATGTACTGGGGAGTTGTTGGAAACCAAACACAATCATCTGAGTCTTGTGACAGGCTGTAGTGGATGATTTATGGCATTACACTTAGGGTTAAAGTGAGGTCTGTATGTGTTATACAGTAGTTATATTAGTTAAGATGCTATTTAGTAAAAAAATAAATAAATAGGTAGGTTAAAATTGTAGAGAAGATAAAAAAAAAATGCTGTAATCATATGGTCAGTATGATACATGTAAGATACAGGACCAGCTACAATGATAAATTTAAGACACTGTGCTGTAATGGAATTCACAACATGTACTGGGGAGTTGTTGGAAACCTCTGTCTGACACTGCTCCATCTTCTGATTCCTGTAACAGGCTGTCCTAGTGATTGGATACCTCAGCCCAGGTGTGAAGCCAATCTCTGTACTGGTCCACACCATGATGGACGACTCATAAATAAGACAAGTAGAGCTATAGACCTTGATTGACTCCCAGACACTAAAAATTGTTGTCCGAGTGAACCACAGTCATTGTAAGCTTTAGCTTACTCTGAGGAGATGCAAGCTCTTTAATTGGGGATTTTGTCTCGGGTTAGTGGATGATTTATGGTAAAATGGTATGAATACTTACATGGTGTTATGTCAGTTCATGGTGTTTGGAGTGTTCCTTTCTTTGACTTTGTAAAGTGAACACAAAGTTAAAGGTTTGGCAAACTTAAATCATTCTTGGAGCAAAGTGATTTAGAAGACATACCGAAAAACATACATATCTTATATTGTGCATCAATATTGGAGGATTTAATGGTGAATACAATTATTTTTTTCCAGTTGCTATATATATATTTTTTAATGTAGTTGAAAAACTATACAAAGAAGTTGCAAAAATGCTCAAGACCAAGCCATTTCCTAAAAGGTACAGTACACCTATAGCAATAGGCATCACAATACAACAGTTTAAAGGATACAATGTGTAAAATGGACAATTCAGTTGGAAAAAAATATTTCTCCAGAAGTGTGTATTCACAAGAATAAAGGACTGCTAAGTATAATAATTTACACCTTGAATGTCTGTTTCTCTTGTATGAGTCGATAGGTATAATAAAATGATAAAAAATATAAAAAGTTCCCAATGATCACGTATGTTATAGTAATCCAAAGTAAAATGGTGCAAAAAAAAAAAAAAAAGGTCTATTGTAGACAAATACAAAAATAATCATGTTCCTTCTTCACTGATGTCGTTCTTTTCAGTCATTGAAAAAAAAAAAAAAAAGAAAGAAAGAAAAACCATGTCAGTCGCAATACTGTTATTGGGTTACAGGTAAGGTCACATTGACTGGAACCTGACTTGTTTGGGGTGCTGGAGAGCCACTGTTCATGGGAGGTGGTGGTGCAGCAACTGGCTCCTGCTTGCTGATGTGGGTTATAAAACGGAGACGAAGCTGTAATGCTGGCCTGAGGTTACAAATGATCTTCTCTACCTGAAATGGAAAGCAGAACATGTTGAGCGCTGCATATGTTTTATTCCCTTTAACACTATGGGATAAGTGATTATTAAGTAACTGTTTAGCTGCATTGTATGTTGATACATGGTTTGGGTAACATAAGACACATGTAATGCAATAAGAGGTGTATACTGAACACTGTATAAATATCTTTATGCACCTTTTATTGATTACATGACTTTGTGCTTGATTTTATGCATCCATCAGCAATGTTTGTGGCTTAAAGGGACACTATAAGCACAAAAACAATTTAAAATTAAATAAGTTATTGTGGAGAACAGAACATGCACCTACAGTCTCAGTGCTCAATCTTCTGTTGTTTAGGAGTTAAATAAATGTATTTATGTAGCCCTAGCCACGTCTCCTTGGCTGTGATGCACACAGCCTCCATAAACACTTCCTGTAAAGAAAGATCTAATTTTTAAACTTCCTATATTGCACAGTGTGTTTAATTTATAACCCATGCTCAATTAATAAACTGTTAGTACCTGCAGAGGTCTTGTGTGTTAAAAGTTTAAAAGAGCAGGTGATAAGAACTTCTAAAGTAAACACACTGTGGTGTAAGATCTTATTGAAAACGAAACCATTTTTGTCATGTTGCATGTAGTAGTCACAGGCAGGCTAAGTCAACAGATTGAGCACCATCCCCAAGGAAATGCAAACATTTTCTTACCAAAACCAGGGAAACCACACACGTTGGGTGCTAATATTCGTTCTACATCTATGCTTAAAGTAGACACAAAGCTTTATAAGCTAAGATACTGCCCACACAACTGAGTCCCCTTTTACAGCAATTAGTGTCAGTAGAGCAAGCAGGATTTGCTCCAGGGCACCAAGCAGGGGATAACACTAGATGTTTCCCAGATTTATTGCAGGTTGCCAATTCATCTCATACCATAGGCCTCTTACTGGCTGAAAGGCATTTTATCACGTAAACTGTAAATATATGAGAGCCATTTCAAAAAGATTTAGTTTCTCCTTTTTTTGTAGAGTATTATGGCATTGTATTACTATCCCTCAGCTAAAATTATGAACACAGGTTTAATCTACCACTCAATATCTCCAATGGTTTCCTGCAAGGCAGTCCCTAACCCATGGATAGTCCTATTTTCAGTGGAAACCCTAGTGCAATATATTAAACGAGACCACCTCATCAGCGGTCTTCAAACATCCAGTGCTCTCTTTGCAGGTGACATACTATTGTTTATAACCCATCGTAAAAGACCAGTATCTACACTTTTGTCTCTGCATGACAATTAAAGCAGTGTGTCCTTTTATAAAAATAATAAAAGCAAGCCACAGGCTCTGCAAACTGTATCATCGGTCCATACCTTACAAAACCAAGAAATATATATACACAAGGTTAATGGCTACATCTCTTTCCTATTCGGATATCCTAACTAAATTTACAGGGCTTCTCATCAAAGAGAATCATGCCAAACTGTTGCATAAAATAAACCTGCAACTAATTCAACTGACACAGTTAGAGGTGTCATGGCAGGGGTGTGATGATACAATTAAGATGATCACTTTGCCATAATACTCATTAAGAGTGTCTGCATACTACATAACCTCTGCAGACACTACAATTAAAATGCTGGCTTTTGCACAAGTGGTCAGTGTCAGAGGACAATACTGAACTTGCTAACTGGTTCATGCTATCTTGGTTTTAGCTTAAAAGTAGAAAAGTGATTAAATAGCATTTTTTTCATAAACAACAAGGTGCCTCAGCAATAAATTATTGTCCACTTACTTGATCTTTCACACTGTCTCCAGTAAACATATACTTCATGTGATACAGGAAGTCACAGATGGGATCCATGAAGTTTAAGTGAACACTGCATTGATCTACATTTAGAAGCATTTCATAAAAGGCCACACCAATCTATTTTAAAAAAACAAACAAACAAAAAAGGTACTTAATCCCAAAATATGTTTAGGGTTTTACGAATGTTTAAATCCTTTTGAATTTACTAGAGAATTATAGATAATTAACCTCCACCCCACCCACCCTCACTGCCCATATTACAATTAGAGCCCCCATCTAGAGGCAATAGGTTGGAGCTGGGGGGGAACTAAGATCTTAGTTAAAAAGCAGCCCCACCTGCTGAGTACGATTAGGGGATGGGGTACATTAAAATATATAAAAGTTTTTTGGGTGAATTAACATGCAAGTATTCTTCTTACATATAGGCATTTGAGGAATGGCATAGAGGTTGTCACTGGATAGTATTGTATGATGTGAAATTTCATTAATAAATCAGAAGGATTTACTTGCATTTATAGAATTAATGAATGCTCTTTGATCTATTTACCTCGATCATGCACCTGGTTCGTTCCTGCTGGAAGCGCTGTAGGAATGGGCCTACTAGATGGTACACATAAAGTAACTGGTATTCTGTTTTCACGATGGGTATAAGAACTTCAGGAAGGAACCTGCAGGTTAAAAAAAAAAATGTTTACTTTACCTACTTCTGTTGAAGTAAATTAATACAAAGCAGCTACAGAACAATAAACTGTTCCACGTACCATATAATTAGTTGGTCTGACATACTAAAATGAAAAAAACAACAACAACTCTGCAAGAAATATACATACTTGGGGATGAGTGAGAGCTGTCCAATGCTTGAATGGTGCCACACAGCATGTGCCAAAGCCAATGTGTAACTACAACTCATTTCAGAATACGCCTTGTGGCAAGCTGTAAAGTCAAAGAGCTGGAAGGGGTAACCAACCCATTCAGACTCGGATGTCAAGCTTGGACTGTTGAGAACACTTACAATCCGATCATGCAGAACTATCCAGTAGGGTTCCTGAAAAGTTTACATTTCTAGTCATTTAATACATCACTAAATAGTTTTCACACATAAAAAATGTTAATACTCCATAAACTTGAATTTTAAATTGCTTGATCAGTTTTGGTATTATTATTTAACGTCCAACTGGAAGCATGGACTAAAAAAATAAGTAAATAAATAATCTTAATTTTTTACTATGACATTTAACTCTTGTACCAACAGTAATCTCAAAGCAGGTGTCTTCTGCCTTTTTTGCTGACAATTATTCAACCAAAACTAAAGAGCGCTCTCTAGAACCAACATCAAAAGACAGGCATTTTAACCAAAAATTATCTGAGCCATATGTCCATTTTAAAAAAAAATGTAATTATGTGGATCTTGGATGAAAACTGTTTCACTAAGAAGAGTGTTTGATTTCATATCTGATTAAGGATGATGGGCCTTTGAATCATTTAACATTGTGAGTGCAAACTTAACATAAAACATATTTATACTTTCCTAATTTACTACCCTATAATTTATATTTTGAAGAACAATAATAATGTTAAAGAATTCAACTTACTGGTAAGGCTGTAATGATGAGTCCAATTGCATTCATCCAAGCAGTGATGTTCTCTCTTGGAACAAGAGGCTGGCTATAGGAAAGCCAAAATAATACAAGCATATTAAAACTTGTCTGGTCCCTACAGGTAAATTAGCACTTGACCATTGTAAGCTGCATAACAAAGATCAGGAATATATCTTTTGCATAAGGAATAAAATGGTAGGTGGGTAAATAAGAAGCATAAGGTCCAGTAGCTAAATCATAAATTTGTTTTTTACACTATACACATTTGGTAAATGCAAAATGTAAGGAAAAGAACTATTAAAAAAAAAAGAAAAAAAAAAGGAGTTATGGTTCCCTTTTAATAAAATTATATTTAAGCTACTGCTGTAGTGCCTGAGAGAGAGGATAATAAAAATGACTTCTCATGAATTGAATTTATTAGTGGATTCTTACAGATAACTGATATTATTATAAGTATTATTTATAATTAGTGAAATTACATGTGGCAGAAGATTAATAAACAAAAGTATTCCTTATTCTTCTCCCCCCTCTTCTTCCCACTGGTATTGTATTCTTTTCTCTCTGCAATAATATCTTGCAAATATCTTGAAAAGAGTAATGACATCTCTCTTGACATATATAAAAAGTGTCAAAGAAAGAAATTCTGGAATGCTACGTTTGGTAAATAAAAAAATCTAAGCACAATAATGGACAACCTCTGTATTTACCTTTTTAATACAACATTCAGAAGTGCATTTCCAACATCTTTGCCTGGAACAGCCAAAGCCATGAGCTCTACACAGGTAACATGAAGTGCATGGGCTGCTGGATTAGGAAACTCGTTGAACCTCCAATCACAGTTTGGAAAAGGCCCGGGAGATTTACCAGCCATGGGTGAAAGATAATTAAGGAAATAAAATAATAATAATAAAAAAATAAAAAAAATAAATATATATATATATATATATATACACACACACATACACACACACACGCGCGCTTAATTTACTAAACAAAAATATCAGTTGGGTGGATACCTGTTGACTTTGTTGGACAGAAATAGTCTTATAGAAACATTTCTCACCTGGGCCCTACTGGACTTTACTTTTTTTATTTTATTTTTTATTTAGAGTACATCTGAAGTAACACTTTCAGGTCCCAACAGTAGTTCAGACACTCAATTATTTATATTAATTGTCCTTCATGCAAATATATTCCTCATATACACAGCAAAGAAAAAGGATATTGTCAACCAATCGGCCAATGAGCTTGCAATAATATGTATCGTCAGGGATCCAAGGGTTGTCCTCTCTGGCATTCATACCACACTTGAGGTAAGTCTCACTCAAGCACCATCCTTGAGGTCGATTATCTTTCAGAGACCCAATGATAGCATGGACAAGTTTGCGTTTCAAGTTTGTCCTCTCCCGAAGATGCATCTCATAGTAATGGAGTGTGTTGTACAAGTAGGTGACTGGTCGATCTATAAACGTATAGTAACAATTGTTATTCAGTGTCCAATATGATTTGGTAGCCCACTACTCTGTAGTAAATATGTGGTTTTATATAACACAGCATACACTGGACTCCACCACTTCTTCCATGTGATGATATCCAAGATATTAGTGGGTCAAATGGTTTGCCTAGTGACAATATTAATTTGCATTTCATTAAACAACAAATAAAGAAACTTTAGCATTAAATTAGTGGAGTATATTTAAAGGGTTACTCCAAGCAGCATGACCACTTCAGTAAACTAAAGTGGTCATGGTGCTTGAAGTCTGCATGTTCCGACCGTTGGTTTCTAAATGGTCACAAACTATTTCGAAAATGTTTATGCGTAGTTATTTTTTGGCAAGACATTATATATGTGCTGGGATGGCATCAATTAGAAGGTACACACCATGAAACTTGTATAAGCCTCCAAGATGATCAAGCAGTGTTTCCAAGGACTTGGAGACTGGAAGTAACTCAAGAAACCTGTGGATGACTATATCAAACACAGGCAAGAAACGAAGGCAAACATTTCCAAAATAAATTGGCAGATACTGAGGCTGGATTTGCACAGGTGGGTTTACTTGCTCAGCCAGGCCTTCAAAATACAGCTTCTCTGGATATTTCTGGAAACCGTAACAAAATGTGTAGTTAGAACAAGGATATTAATAATGTAAAGATTCATAAAACATTTTTATTTTATGATATTTCTACACAAGATATGTTAAGATATATCAAATCAGCAAGTTGATTTGCCCCTTATCTAGGCAAATCACTTTTAACCTTAGTTCAATCAAAAGAGACAATCACAAAGATTAATAATTCATGCATACAAAATAACTACATTATTATGAATCAACACTGGAAAAAAATAGGTCTGCAGTGTAGAAGACTAAATGGTAATATGTAACTTTAAAGAAATAAAAATTAAAAATGGAGAAAAAAAAAATCATTCACAGTTTCATGTATCAAGTACTTTTCAAAATGATTTACTAAAAGGAGAACGGTCACATCCATGGAATTTATACCATTGAATAAAAACACTGAACAATTTTAAATTAATTTCTCAATGAAGTATGGGTGCCTTGCCCCTACTGTTTTAACTCCGCAACTGAAAACACTCCTTTTTATTTGTTTTGCAGGAACGACAAGGTTTTAATTTTAGGGTTAACATGCCTCACATGTTGACACATTGATAGCCACAAGAGGGCTTCCTCCACAATAGCCAAGTTAAACTCGGCTATTCAATCAGATAATCTCATGGAGACCATTTGATTGGCGCAGTGCACCCTAAACAGTGAGCAGACAAAAAATTTTGTGGTATAATTGCTAAAACTTAGTCTTTATTTCACCTTTAATAAATATATATTGAAAAAAACCTCATATAAAAACATGTTCAGCGTTAAGTCATCGGCTAAAGTTATGCAGGATGAAAAATGTCTAATTTCCTTATTTATCAACAGCTGTTAAAACGGAGTACCTATATTAATAACCTGAATCCCTTTCTATGCAACCTTGAGTATTCTCCAGGTTACCAAAAAACAGTGAGCAGTTCTCTATAGGGTTAGGAGTACCTAGCTCCTGACGACTGAGTGTCGATACACCGAAACGCGCATCGAGCACTTTACTTTATTTAGTTTTATAAACCCGGTAGCACTAAGTTTTCTTATGCTTTATTAAGATTATTTAACTTTTAGCATTATTTTTGCCAGGTGCAGGGGGGAAATGTGGTTCAAGTAGGATCAGTGTAGTCCTCCACGGTACCAGAGTACCATTAGGGCTAGTCCTCCTTACTTTTAGGTTATGCTATGTTAACCTAGACTCTGGTACTTATTAGCACTCTATATCTGGAAACTCTCTGATCCCATGGGGGGGGGGGGGAACACCTATTATTGTGGGTAGGAGTTTTTTTCTGTACTTCTTTGAGACTCAAGTGTGTGGGGGCGACATACAGCTAGCTTCATTGGGAACTGGTATTTCCCTGTAGTTCCTGACTATACCCAACCACTTGTGTACAGATACCCTTACCTACCTTCCCCCTCCTCTCCCCTTCTCCTTACACCTGGTTACTGTCTACTTACCCGCTCTAGTTATTTTCTAGACAAGGGTACCTCTGTGTCACTAGAGCTTCACCTCAGGACCCCCTTGTTTATAGGGTTTCCTTTATTCTTGCTGTATTATATTTGGGTTACCCACAATTTTGTAGCTCTATGTTAGGCATTTTTGTTAGGACCTATCTGGTATTTCCACGGCTTATGTGGCTATACAGACTAGCCTTATACATATTGTTTTAGGAGTACATGTTTGTATTTCTAACACTACAGGGTTCCTTTAACCCCTTAAGGACACATGACGTGTGATATGTCATGATTCCTTTTTATTCCAGAAGTTTGGTCCTTAAGGGGTTAAACATTTTGGAAAGTACAGCCTTATCCAGTTGAGTAGGCAAAGCCAGGGCAAGCAATTATTATTATTATTGCCATTTATATAGCGCCACCAGATTCCGTAGCGCTTTACAATATTTTGAGAACGGGGATTTAACAATAAATAGGACAATTACAAGAAAACTTACAGGAACAATAGGTAGAAGAGGACCCTGCTCAAACGAGCTTACAGTATATAGGAGGTGGGGTTTAAAACACATTAGGACAGGAAATAGCAATCAAATAAGGTAGAAGTGACCAGAGCTGGAGGAGAGAATAAAGTGCTGCCCTTTATGAGAGAGCAAGAGACAGGTATGTGAGGTAGAGGTTACTCTGGGAGGCCATAAGCTTTCCTAAAGAGAGATTTTAAGGTACTTTTTAAATTATTGAGGACTAGGGGAGAGTCTGATGGCGGTAGGCAGGCTATTCCATAGGAAGGGAGCTGCCCGCGAGAAGTCCTGCAAGCGTGAGTTGGCCGTACAGGTGCAAGCAGCAGACAGGAGAAGGTCACGGGCAGAGCGGAGAGACCGAGAAGGGGCATACCTATGGATCTGTGAAGAGATATAAGAGGGGCTAGAATTGTTCAGTGCTTCATAGCACTTTGAATGGACACATATAGGATACAGGAAGCCAATGTAAGGACTGACAGAGGGGTGAGATGGAAGAAAGGCAAGCAGTGACACATTGCAGGACGGCAGAGGAGAGGTCAGGGGAGGAGAGATATCTGGGTGTCATTAGCGTACAGGTGGTAGTGGAATCCAAATGAGGTAATAAGTTTGCCAAGAGAGGCAGTAGAAAGATGAAATAGGAGGGGACCAAGGACATAGCCTTGGGGGACTCCAACCGAGACAAGACGAGGGGAGGAGGTATCATTAGAAAAGAAGACACTGAATAAGCGTTGGGAGAGATAAGAGGAAAACCACGAGAGGACAGAGTCACAGAGACCAAGTGATTGAAGAGTTTGAAGAAAGAGAGCATGATCAACGGTATCAAAGACCGCAGAGAGGTCAAGAAGAATTAGTATGGAGTAGTGGCCTTTGGATTTAGCTGCGATTAGGTCATTAGTAACTTTGATAAGAGCAGTCTCAGTAGAGTGGAGAGGGGGCGGAAGCCAGATTGAAGAGGGTCAAGGTGAGAGTTGGAATTGAGGAAGTGAGACATACAGGCAAAGACAAGTCTTTCCAGAAGCTTTGAGGAAAAAGGGAGCAGGAATATAGGACAATAGTTAGAGTGGGAGGACGGTTCAAATGATGTTTTTTTCAGGTTAGGTACTACAGTGGCATGCTTAAGGTCCTCAGGGATGACGCCAGAAGAGAGAGCAGTTGAAGATGTGTGTTAAGGAAGGCACAAGACAGGGGGAGAGAGATCTGATAAGGTGAGATGGGACAGGATCGAGCTGGCAAGTGGTGGGGAGAGAGGTAAGGAGAAACACAGCCACCTCTTGTTCAGTAGCCGGGGAGAAAGTCTGAAGGGTAGGAAAGGCATGATCAACGTGTGGTGAGAACGATAACAGCAAGGTGGTGAGAATTCTTTCCTTAGCTATTCAAGCATGCAAAGCTATCTGCTGTAAGGTTAGTTTAGGGGGTGGCCATAGCAGGGCGAAGAAGAGAGTTAAAGGTGTCAAACGCCTGGGATTGCGGGAGCATGAACTAATGAGAGAGGAAAAGTATGACTGTTTGGAGAGGGCAAGGGCTGCGCTGTATGAACACAATATAAATCTATAATGGAGATAGTCTGCCTGGGTGTGAGACTTCCTCCAGCAACGTTCAGCCCAACAGGGAGCATCTTTGCAGGTAGCGTGTTGATTTAGCATGCCACGGTTGGGGGCGTGTCCTCCTCGAGGTGCATGTTTGGAGCGGGGCTGCAGCGTTCCAGGCAGAAGTAAGCAATGCAAATGAATAGGTAAAGAGAAACATTGTTGCATTTCTCTTCTTCTCAGCTAGTGGCAAAGGACAATGATTGCCAGGGAGCTAAGATGGAAGCATACAGTTGCAATATAAAAAGGCATTATCACTAAAATGCATTATCACATCTCTAGTGTCAGGAATACACGTTTGTAGTGTTCCTTTAAAGCTACATTTCCCTTTTTGTGACCAATGCAAATTAAATTCTCCACAACAAAAGTAAGAGTGCTGAATTCCTGTTGAAGTGTAAAGTACAGTTCATGTCCATATTCAAGCTTACTGTTGCTACACGGTACCTTGTGGTAATTCATGTGCTTGGTATGCCAGTCGTTCTGCAGCCAATGTTCTGGAGAATTTTCCTTCACAAAGTCGCTCACTCTGTTTCTGAAGTCATTGGGTTTCAAAAGAAGCAGCTGAATAATGAAGTAGCACACCTGGGCTTCATTTCCTTCATGACTGCGCATAGCCTACAGGAAGAACACCAAAGCACATGTTAACCATCACATTGTAAAGGAGGTAGATATTTATATAGTGGAAAGTTAAAGGAGCACTATAGGGTCAGGAACACAAACATGTATTCCTGACCCTATAGGGTTAAAACCACCATCTAGCCACCCTGGTCCCCTCATGCCTCCATAAATATAGTAAAATCTTACTTGTATTCAAGTCTGCAGCTGCTAACCTAGTCCCTGTTTCCTTTAGACTTGCCCACTGCCTGCTGACATCAGCAGAAGTGGTAGCCTGATCCAATCACAATGCTTCCCCCATAGGATTGGCTGAGACTGACAAAGAGGCAGTTCAGGGGCAGAGCCAGCACAATTCAAACACAGCCCTGGCCAACCAGCATCTCCTTATGTAGATGAATTGAATCAATGAATCTTTATGAGGAAAGTTCAGTGTCTGCATGCAGAGGGAGGAGACACTGAATGTTTGGATGCATTTTAGGCAGCCATTACCCAGGAAGGATCTCTAACAGCCAACTGAGGAGTGGCAAGTGAAGTAATCACTAGGCTGTAATGTAAACACTGCATTTTCTCTAAAAAGACAGTGTTTACAGTAAAAAGCCTGAAGGTAATGATTCTACTTACCAGAACAAATTCAATAAGCTGTAGTTGTTCTGGTGACTATGGTGTCCCTTTAATTGGTCTACCATACACTACATTTCATTTAAATGCATGTGTAGATTATAACACTTTCCTTATGGATATTTAAATAAATAGCCTAAACATTTATTTAATGTGGAGAAGTCTGAGGAGAAAAAAAATAAAAAGACATTTGGCAGATTTTATATTTTTAATAATAGATAATAAATAATTTTTAAAAAGTATCTCAATACATAAATCTATATACATACACGGACAGTCCCTATAGTCTTCCCTGGTGCATGTGTATGGCTGAAGGGACGGACACATGGACGGATGGACAGATGGACGGACGGACACACACACACACACCCCTCATTAAAACCAATAAATATTTCCTTTCAATAATTAATTATTACTGATATAAAATGTTTTTGATGTGAGAATTGTCCTTTAAAGAGACTGAAAATCAGGAAAGTTGGTAACGTTTTAGATGCCTTCGCCCAAAATACCCTTAATGGTAAAGAGAATCTTTGATAAAAGGAAGATTGTGTACACACACAAACCAAAAACAAGCCATCGATGCACTAGAAAATGGATAGCTTTGTCTCTATAATAATTGTGATGTTTTGTTTTGCCACAGTAGAATGGGCAGACTTGCACACCACTCCCCCTACCAGGAGAAAAGGGTAAAACACTACCATTAGCATTTTCCCAGAAAAACAAACAAAGCATAATTTGAATGACAAAAAAGTAACCTAATAGAAAGAAAGCAGTCAAACAACTATTCAATCACAAATATATATTTCATCACGTAGACCTCCCACAACACTATAAAGAAATCTCTGTTGTACTCACACTTGGACAAGGTAAGTTGAAAGCAAACTCTTTACATAAACTGGAAAAATTAGCATGGAGTAAGAAGACAAAAGTAGAATAATTACCAGGCACAAGATCAGCCTATCAAGAGTAACAATGTTGTATTTCCACACCATGTCATTAAGCATCTCAATGCACTTATTGAGCTGTTGGCCTCCTGCTGAAGTTGAAAACTCATACACAAGGAAATCAGCAAATGTTCGGACGTGAGCTACCAGAGCTCTGGCTCCAATTCTTTCTAGAACTCTAAAAACAAAGAGAAAAGACATTACATTCATGCACTGACTCGCACAGTATTGATATTCATGCATAAACCACAACGTAAGCAACTGCAATGAACAGTGGAAAACTACTGGGAGAATTTATTTCCCAAAGTACCTCATGAATGGTGAGGGCTTGCTTGGTAATTAAAATCACAAAGTGCAAGTAGTCATTTTAAGAAACATTTATTCGCCACCACTGCTAAGGACAAAATAATAGTGCGTAGCTCAGCAACTAAACAAATTAAAAAGTCCTTATTTGAAAGTAGACAATACCTTATTTCAAACACAGGCAGATTTCAGGGTCCTCTAGCCCAATTTTCAAATAGAGATGCTTTAGATTAACATGACACAAAGATTTGGCTCTAAAAATTTATTTTATCTTTTAGAGTCAATTAATTATAGTTACCATGGTGATCACCAGGGTAGAATACCCTTAAAATCATCTATATTTTATAGATGGGGCTCGCCCGCCTTTAAACAGGGGTCTCTTGGGACCTCTAACTAATATTGGTATTAAATGACTCCAAGTTTAAGATACATTTATTTGTTGCTATCATCAGTTGGTCAGCGTTAATCACCTAACGATACAGCCCTCTAAACAACCTTTTTAAAGGAGCTTGATACATTTTCTTTATTAACGGTAATTTTTAAGCTGTATGTTTTAAAATTACTTGAAGTGATACTGTGCACTGTACTATGCAGTTTATGAGACGGCTTTATTGTATTTTATGTATGGATGAGCTAGAACCAGAGACTTGTGTGACTGTGGATGAAGAGGTCTTATTTTATGCACTTGCCAGATATTGGATGAAACTTGCAGGTCATCTAGTATCTGACTTTTGGTTCTTGACTCTTTACAGACTGTTGAAGCTTCCAAACTTGCAATTGCTTTTTCATATTGCGACAGATAATCAAGGTAAATCATAGTTCTTCAAATAGCATAGTTATCAAGTTTACCTAGTAATTTAGTATCTCATTTTGTCAATTGTGTAATTTTGTCTAATGTGGGATAGCCTTCCATGAGTTACAACACACAAAATTAATTGATCTAGCTGTGCTAAATATGCTATGACTTAAACTCTATTTACAAAGGGCTGGATTAACACAGGGGCTAATGGAGCTGCAGCCTATATGTAGAAGAACAAAACTTGTGCTATGACTTTGTGCACTGTGTGGCATGTCTCTTCCTTCTACATTAAGTACATCCACCTCTTTCTCTGTCCCATGCTGCATACCAGGAGCAAGCTTCTGCCTGCTAGTCAAAAAGGAAATAGAGGAGTGGAAAAGCAAGTCTTGAGGAGAGATTATTCAGAGTTTGTGAGAGAGGGGAGTCAATAGATATGGAGCTTGTAGGATGGACAAGTATATTGGGTTAAGAGGTGGAAGAGAGAGATTGACAAGGTGTGTGTAAAATGTATTCTGCTAGTGTCCTTCCAGCACCATCTCCACCAGATATTCAGAACACTCGGGAGTATGGCTGGTATAGTACTTTCTATCGGAGCCTGTCGGCCTATCATAATTGGGAACACTAGGCCCAATAGGCTTTTCTAGCAAATAAATTTACCCACAGAGAAAACTATACTGTTATGTGTCTATTCTGATTTGTTATTATTATAACAAAGAGGTGTGGGTTTACGTTTGTCAAATACTTAAATATCTGTATATTTAAGATTCTACACAATAAAAGAAAAAGAGATGCTTCTAATTTATGTAGCATAGAAGTTATGCCGTTTCATCTGAGAGAACAAAAGCCTTACACATGCCAACACTTAGAATCCAATGCTCCCCCAGAGCAAAAATCATTTGACAATTATTTCACACAAAGCTCCTGAAAGAAACAATAGGAACTAGGAATTCCAATTAATGATTTAAAATCAATTCTTATGCACTTGCTTAGATGCTGTAAAATGAACAAATGTACTATAATAAGAGCAATTAGAGACTAAATAAATATATTTACCGATAACCAATTTGGTTGATTTGATCAGTTTCTAACAGCATTTTCCAGAGAAGACAGAGGAAAAGAGGGGGTGATCCCTGCAAGGAGAAGTGTGTGATGATGTCATTTTCATTAGTCATAGACTTCCACTTCCGATATTCTTCCTCCACATTCTTTTTTAGGTTAAAGCGACTTTCTTGTGGTACATTGTTCTGCTTGAAGAATGCCTGTTCATAAAAAAATAAATAAAAAAAATTAAATAAAATTCTAAAATTTGTGTCCATTAACAATGCCAACAATACCAACAAGATACAGAGGTAAAAATGTTGGACATGAGAAAAACAATCCACAAAATTCTTAATAAGGTAAATAATTTAATGGGAAACTGTGTATAGAGTGTATACATTCTGGTACTCTAGTTTCTATGTCAGGTAGTTACAGAAAGCTAGCCATTTACTTAACAATAAAAGTAATGGTCTTGTAAAAAAGTGCAGTCAACGATGTGTTGCATATATAACAGACAAAATACATTGTATACCATATTGCAAGTTAGCATGATGGCCCTAAAACAATTGGTATCACAACAAGCTGTATTTAAATAGTATTTAGAAACGAGACACTCAGAGCATCATAACTATTACAGTTCATGCCGTGGTACCTCCTATTACAATGAGTCAAACCTGTTGGTACACTTCATTACCAGACCATGATTTTTATCAGCTGATAATCTCGGGTAACAAAATTCTGTCTATCTGGTGTGGGTAGTAAAGGCATGGAGAAGTGTCAGGCAGACCGCAGGTTAGATGTTAAACGTTTGCAATACTGGTTTGATTCCTTACAATGGGGAGAGCATTGGGCCAATCATGGCACCATAACTACTACCGTGCGCTGTAGTGGTTATAGGGCTTGGAGTTTTCCATTAACTATATAAAATATGATTCTACATAATATTTTCCAATGTGTAAGATATCTATATATCTATATCTATATCTATATCTATATCTATATCTATATCTATATCTATATCTATATCTATCTATCTATCTATCTATATATATATATATATATATATATATATATATCTCAACATCCTAGAGCTGGCATAGGCAACCTTTTGCACTCCAGATGTTTTGGACTACACCTCCCATGATGCTTTGCCAGCATTATGGATTTAAGAGCATTAAGGGGGGTGTATATATAACACCTTTTTGGGTTTTTGCTTCAAAAGCCTCAATAAGCAAACGTGTAACCATCCTCATGCTGATGATTTGCATTAACAATGAAACAGCTGTCCGTGAGTGGTTCACTGGCTTAGCATCTTTTCCTAAATTGTGTTTGAAAGCGGTTGTATACAGCAAAGACAGACTCAAAGGAATCCATGTTTAAAATGGAATGAGGCAAAAAATGTATTCTTTGTTGAACTTATTTGCATATGCCCACCCAGAATCCTTTGCGGTAGTAACATCACTGCCGATTTGTGATTTCTGTGGGACTGGTGTGCAGATCTTTGTTTAACATTGTCGCTGTCCTCTTAACTCCCTTATTAGAAACTGCAAAGTTTCCATTGCACAGTTAACTCCTCCTCCTGTGGCTGTCAGAATGCAGAGGGCTAAAAAGCACCTATTGAGCCATGGTGCTGTAAAATGTTACGTAAATTAATATTTTATAAAATATTACTTTGAACCTGCATACAAGTAGGGATTTGAATATTATAAAGTTTGGAGTACAGAATAGTGTTCCTAACACTATAATCTTCCTGTAACTGATATCAAACACAGTTGTACACATCCAAAGTTACCTGCAGTGGTGCTGGAAAACAGCTCAATGTATGCAATGCCCAGTTATGCGGTGTGAAACTAATAATGGTCTGCAGAATATCTTTGCACCATGTACCTTGGATTGATTCAGAACCTGTGAAAAAATCTAAACAAAATTTCTCGGTTAGTATAATATATATATTGAGCAGAATAAAACTGAACATGGGGTTTCAATCAGGCATATAAACCATCTCTAACATACTCTTTACCCTTTTATTTAGGTACAAAATATGCCTTTTGAATTACCCCAGGGTGTATTCTTTAATAAATAGTATGTGTTTGTGGGGAAGTTTCAATAACCAACCGTCTAAACTACTCCAAATTGAAACATGGACACAGCGTAAAACTTCAAAGTTAGAAAAAAACTGGCTGTGTCTCAAATGTGCCCCTTCAACATCCACATATACCTGGCAAAGGTACATACGGGGGTATTGCTGTACTCAGCCGACATAGCTGAGCAACATATGAAGTATTATACAGTCATAGCACACATAAGGTTTGCAAAATATGCTGCGCAAACTCACTTTGTATGTCAAAAAGGCAGAAAAAATGCTTATTACCACTACACTTGGTACAAGCTAGCGGAAAAATGATCCCACGCTAAGGTTCAAAATATGCCTTTTGAAATACCCTGGGATGTCTTCTTTAAGAAATGGTATGGCTTTATGGGGAATTTGGATTATATAGCCTGGTAAAATACTCTAAAATGGGACATAGGCACAGCATAAAAATTCAAAGTTTGAAAAAACTGGAATGGCTGTGTCCCAAATGTGCCCCTCCGATGTCCACACATACCTGGCAAAGGTACATACGGGGGTATTGCTGTACTCAGCCGACATAGCTGAGCAACATATGAAGTATTATACAGTCGTAGCACACATAAGGTTTGCAAAATATACTGTGCAAACTCACTTTGTATGTCAAAAAGGCAGAAAAAACGCTTATTACCACTACATCTGGTACAAGCTAGCGGAAAAATGATCCCACGCTAAGGTTCAAACTATACCTTTTGAAACACCCTGGGGTGTCTACTTTAAGAAATGGTAGGCCTTTGTGGGGTAGTTTGAATTTAAAACCTGCGAAGATGCTTGGAAATTGCACATAGGCCCAGCGTCAAAATTCAAAGTTTGGTAAAAACGGATATGGCTTGGTCTCCTATATGGCACTGTAGCTTCACAAAATAGTGACAAAGACATTCATTGGGGGTGTATTTTTACTCAAAAGACTTAGCTGAGCATAATTTGGGAGGTTTGAACTTAGTGGCACATATGAAATATACAAAACGCCCAGCAAAAATGCAATCCGTATGTAAAAAATGCACAAAATAATTCTTTTACCACATACTTTGGCATATATTGGTGAAAAAATGGGGGCATGTTAAGGCACAATATGCACCTTATAAGATACCCTGGAGTGTCTACTTTTACAAATGGTAGGCCTTTGTGGGGGTTTTTTGAACAGTCAAACTGTTATAATACCCCAAATGGAAGCTAAGGCTCATTAAATTCATCTCTCAAAATTCTACTGTGAATACTGAAAAGGACAGGTATCCTGTATGGCACTGTAACTTCACGAAATAGTGCAAAAGACATACAATGGGGTGTCATTTTACTCAGCAGATGTAACTGAACACAAAATAAAACTTTGTACAGGAATAGCACACACCAACTTTACAAAATATACACGAGAATTTCTCTGTTATAAGTTTGTGTGCCAAAAACCAAAAAGAACACAATTTTACTCCAATATTTAGCAGAGGTTGGCGGTGAAATGGCTACGTAGAAAGTGTCAAAACAACCTTAGGTAAATAGCCCGTGATGTCTACTTTATATAAATATATACTTTTGTGTGGCAATTTTGTTTTCTTTTATGGCTATTAAACTTACAAGACAAACATACCAAATTCTAAAATCGCTCCACATTAAAAGTTTATTTTACTCCTTGTGCTTTGTGACCTGTAACTACCAAAAAAAAACTTAAAATCCCAGACACATTATATATTCTGTAAATCAGAACAAATAAATAATTTATTTTTAATTACTTTCCTTAACCTGCACTAATTATGCACACATTATTATTGCAAAAACTGTAAAAAAAAACAATATTTTTAATTTTTTTTGCATTTTTCTGTATTTTTTTTATAATAAGTAAGCATTTATATATATATATATATATATATATATATATATATATATATATATATATATATATATATATATATATATATATATATATATATATATAATGTTATATCAAATTAAAGCCCTTTCTGTCCTTTAAAAAACAGTATATAATATGTGTCGGTGCAATAAATGAGAGAGATGCAAATTGCAGTTGAATGCAAACAGCAAGAAAATGCAAAAATTGCTTGTGTCATTAAGCGTAAGTCAAGCTTCTGAAGCGGTGTCCTTTAGGGGTTAATCTAACTAATCGTAGTTTTACTTTCCTTTTCTCATTTATGTATCTAACAAATGTTTTATCCCCCTTTTTTATTGACGGTGCTATTTTCTCTTCTGTGTGCGCTTTGGAGGCTCTAATAACTTGCTTAGCCTCTTTCTGCCTAATCTTATACATCATTCTGCCTTCCTCACTCTAGGCGTTTTTTTTTTTAAAATTACTAAATGCTAACTTTTAGTTTTTTACTATTTTGGCCACATCTGCAGAGTTTTCTTAATTTTTTTGCTTTTACTGACAAGCCTAATGCAATTTTCTGTTGCCTTCAGCAGTGGAACTTTTAGATAATCCCATTTCTCCTGGACTCCATTTAAACTGCTCCAGTCTGACAAGGACTCCTTTACACATATTCTAATTTTAGAAAAGTGTTTTTCTAAAGTCTAAAACTTTTGTTTTTGTGTGGTGTGACTCAGTCACTGTTCTTATTAAACCACAGTGTCTGATGATCACTAGATCCTAAACTTTCACCTACAGTAGTATACGATACCAAATCTCCATTTGCAAACACTAAAGCTAGTATGGCCTCCTTATGAGTTGGTTCCTCAACAAGTTGTTTTAGAGACAATCCCAGTAGGGAGTTTAGAATATGTGTGCTCCTGGCACAAGCAGCTAGTTTGGATTCCCAGTTAACAACAGGAACATTAAAGTCACCCATGATGATAACTTCCCCCTTCATTGTCATTTTAGCTATTTCCTCAACTAGTAGATTATCTAACTCTTCTATTTGTCCTGGGGACCAATAAATCACACCTACATGAGTTACTGTGTGATTACCAAATTCTAACGTAACCCAAACGGACTATGTTCGCCTCACTAACTTTTATTAGGCTAGATTTTATGCTATCCTTCACATACAGGACCACCCCTCCTCCTTTCTTGCCTTCTCTGTCTTTTCTATATAAGAGTACCCTGGTATTGCTACATCCCAGTCATTTTTATCAGTATGCCATGTCTTACGGAGACAGCAACTAAATCTACATTATCAGTTGCCATTATTGCCACAAGTTCATGGATCTTATTCCCTAAACTGCGAGCATTTGTAGATATGACTAAGCTTATTTTTTAACACACTCGTTACAGTTACTTTCTGTTTTTGTTTTTGTAATCATGATGTTATAATACCATGTTGCATCCTGGTGATAAACGATTACAAATCGCTTTTGATTTTCTAACAGGACACTGTCCTCTTTTAAAAGCGCCATTCAGCTCAGTCAGATACTATCTCCCCATACATATCACAGAGTTAACCCAATATTTGTATATTATGTTTGATTTTGCACTTTCCCCTTTTTTGTTACATTGTATATATTGCACATAGAGCGCAAAGTATCTTTTGCTCTGATCGCTCCCTTTCCTAGTGTGGTTAAGCTTTGTCTCCATCTAGTGGTAAAACAATATATTGTCTCTATATACTCTTTATTTATTACAACATTAAAAGTTACGTTTTAAACATACTACCACTTGTACTCCAGGGTTAAGAGCTTGTTCTCTCCTTCCATTTTTTTTTTATTAACTTAGTATTTGGGTTCATGCCCTGCTCTTTCAGCCCTCTAGAATCTTTATATTATTCTACTGCCTCCCTTCTCCTTCCTTTTGTCTAATTATTCTGGTGTCTACAGCGCTGCAGGCTTTGTAATTTCAGAGTCAAGGCAGAGTTTACATTACTGCCTAGGAAAACCTTTAGTGTCCACTCCTCAGACAACCACTAGAGGTGCTTCCTAAGTCAGTGCTGCAAAGTGTGCAGGGTCTCCAAGCTCTGCATGGAGATGCTGAATGCTTCCCAAAGAGATGTTTTGATTCAAGTCAAGGAACTGTGCGTGACTGTTACACAAAAAAAAAAAATCAGATTATATATAAACTTTTCTAATGGTAGTGATATTTTCAGACTGTTGCGGTAATGAGTTTTCTTCTGGAAAATGTGCTCAAAAAAGTGTTACATTGCCAGTAATTGTTTTAATTTAATGCTCACAGACACTTTGGAACTTTGTTTTTAATGCACAAATAAATATATCTGTACATATAATGGAAAAGAATGCCTTTAAATGTAATCTAACATATGAATAACTGAAGTTGAAAAGCAAAATAATAGAAACTTGAAAGTTTTGCAATTGTACATCTAATAGTTAAAAGTACCTGTAACATGTGTAGCTCTTGCAAGAGTCAAAATAAGAGCCCTGTTGAGCTCCTCCGACTCTGCTGATAAAACCGTTTTGGGATCGCTCAAGAAACGGGTAAACTGTGGTTGCACCTCTGAACTGCCAAGAGCTGTGATCAATCTCAAAGCAGTGCTCTCAACACTACAATAAAAAAAATTAAAAAAAAATAATTAGTGGACAATTATGGTATGTGTTTGGTTCAAAATTTATTTCATAGACAAAATCTGCTTATTTTATTACAGAACTTGAAAAATTAGGGCTTAGTCAATGCAAAAAATATGGGTCTTGATAAAGCGAAGATCACAAAAATGTTGGGGTTTTTAACCTAACAAGCTTCATATTTTCAAAACTGTTTCTGTTGTTCCATTTGAAAAAAAAAAAAAGAAAAATTTTTATTTCAAGCTACTAAAAAATAAAAAAAAATAGAAAAAATATATACAACAAAGTGTATAAATACATGCAAGAAATGTCACATGTCTGAAGAGAATTTAAATTTAAACACGCTAATTTTTTTTGATATAATAAATGAATAAGAATGTGTACATTTTATGGTATAACATTGACATTTACAGGTGAAAGTTGCACAGTGGGTGGGGAATATTTCCCCATTTTCCCTTTTATTCTCTACACATACCATTAGTTACTGTCTAGGTTTAAAGACAAATGTTAACTAAAAATAAATTTGAAAATAACAGTTCTTTGCCGTTAGATCTTAAACTTAGCCAATATATCCATACATAAAACTGAAAGGATAGTTCAAAACATGAAAACTTAAAGAGTTCTAGCAGGGACCTAGAGAGATAGGACAATACGTTATCTAAAATTAAAATAAGATAAAATAATGCTTTGCTTACCGTCCATCTTTATATAAACCAAACATTGTCATTTTATCAAACTATTATCTACTGGATTGATTCACAACTGTTAAACCGCTGAATTCCAATGTAGGAACCACAAAGTGGATACGTTAATATGCTACTACCCAGCAAATACCTTTACACAATGTCTGCTTATGGATTCATCGTAGCAAGGTCAAATGAAATTATTGTTAGGGTGGTATTCATGGTGCACAATTCTCACCCAATAAAAAGTCAAAGGATGTATCTATAGCAACTGCTCTGTTGTTGTGAATGGAAAACTGAACTGTACTGAAATGAAAGCTAAATGTAAAAAATGTGGCCAATATAGTGGGGTAGGACAAATTCCCCAACTCAGCTTGACATTTGTAGTCTGAATTGTACAAAGTAATCCACTGTTTAGTGAATAAACTGGTCAGGAATCCACAATATTAGACCAAAAGAGAACATTTGTTAACACTGCAAATCATCTGCTTCCCCGTTCATCTATTTTTCCAGAGATTTGTAAAGTCCAGGTGAAAAGTTTACTGAATAACCCTGCAAGTGTTTTATCTGGAAGACTGTTAACATTCATATCCTCACTTTCAAAAAATGAATGCAGAATAAAAATATCTTGTGTAATGAAACCACCAAAGCAAACTAGGTAGTCTGTAGATACTTTAAAAAAACAATACTTTACATCAATTTTAACAGTATACTAGAAAGCTTGTGGAAATCTGGCCCTGAAATCAGTATCTTGTTTGTTATGTTGTTAATGCACACAGTTTTTAGATGTTGAGAAGAAAACCACTCCAGCAGATCAATGAGACATTGAGAGCTGAACACAAAATACTGACTTGGAATTTGGCTCACAGCCACTGCTTAATATATCTAAGTAGTTCTCAATAATCAATACTGAACATTTAAAGGAACTCTATAGTCACCCAGACCACTTAAAGGACCACTATAGGCACCCAGACCACTTCAGATTAATGAAGTGGTCTGGGTGCCAGGTCCAGCTAGGTTTAACCCTTTTTGCTGTAAACATAGCAGTTTAAGAGAAACTGCTATGTTTACCTATGGGTTAATCCAGCCTCTAATGGCTGTCTCATTGACAGCCGCTAGAGGGCTTCCGCGCTTCTCACTGTGATTTTCACAGTGAGAAGACGCCAGCGTCCATAGGAAAGCATTGAGAATGCTTTCCTATGAGACTGGCTGAATGCGCGCGTGGCTCTTGCCGCGCATGCGCATTCAGCCAGGGATGTCAGAAGAGGGAGGAGAGTCCCAGCGCTGGGAAAAAGGTAAGGGATTAACCACTTCCTACCCCCTCAGCGCCACAGGAGTGGGACGAGTATGTTTTCCTGACACTATAGTCACCAAAACAACTTTAGCTCAATTAAGCAGTTTTGGTGTGTAGATAATGCCGCTGCAGTCTCACTGCTCAATTCTCTGCCATTTGGGAGTTAAATCACTTTGTTTATGCAGCCTCAGTCACACCACCCTATGTAAGTCACCTGCATGTGACTTACATAGCCTTCCAACATTTCCTGCAAAGAGTCATCTAATGCTTACACTTCCTGTATTGAAAATACTGTTTAATTTAGAATTTCATATCTCCTGTTCTGTTAATAGCTTTCTAGACTCTGCAGGAGCCTTTTGTATGTAATTAACCCCTTAAGGACTGCTGACGGTTCAGGACTGTCATCAAAAAAATCCCCTTGAAGACCAATGACTGTCCTGAACCGTGATAACAGTAATATTTACTTACCCGATCGCCGCCGCTCCCCCACCCGTGATCGGCGTTGCTCCTGGTCTGGGGGTACTGCCTGACACCCCAGACAGTCCCCCCTTGGCGAATTAGGCCCCAGCGGCCATGTGATCGTTCTCCAACAGAGCGTTTACATGGCTGCAACAGCTACCTGTCTATCTGCCTGCAGGGGGACTGCCTGAACTGACAGGCAGTCTCCTTGATTCTGAAAAATAAATTGTTAATAAATAAAAATATAATTATATATGTATATTATATCTATATAATATTTCTATACTAAGTATTTTTTTATTAATATATACATATAGTAACAGAATACACTCAGAATTAAATTGTGTGTATATATATTTTATAATAGACTATAAATAAGTAAATTAAAAATAAATTATATATATATATAAATTTAATTTTAACTGTATTTTGATATATATATATATATATAATCAAAATACACTTAGAATGAAATTATATATCTATGTATATACATATAAATACAAATAATACGAAATATATATATCCATATACAAAATTACATAACTAATTTCATAAATATACACGTAGAGTTCAAATATATAAATATGTATATATTTAAATTCTACGTTCATATTTAGGTAATATTTTTACATAATTAAGTCATTTTATTGATCACAATTTAAGGGACCTGCCTGACAATCCAGGCCGAAAGTCCAGAGAATTTGTTTTGCTAGCACTGTATTTAACCCTGTAACTTTCTATGATACCCTAAAACCTGTACATGGGGTGTACTATTTTACTCTGGAGACTTCGCTGAACACAATTAGTTTCAAAACAGTAAAAGATATCACAGCGATGATATTGTCAGTGAAAGTGAAGTTTTTTTGTACACAAACGGCAGTTTCAATGATGATATCATTGTTGTAATATGTTTAGCTGTTTCAAAAGACTAATATTTGTGTTCAGCGAAGTCTCCCGAGTGTAACAGTACCCACCCCCGTGTACAGGTTTTATAGTGTTTTTGAAAGTTACAGGGTCAAATATAAGGGTTTTTTACATTGAAATTTAGCAAATTGGTTATGTTGTCTTTGAGAGCGTATGGTAGCCCAGCGATGACAATAACCCCCATGATGGCATACCATTTGCAAAAGAAGACAACCCAAGGTATTTCAATTGGGGTATGTTCAGTCTTTTTTAGTAGCCACAAACACTGGCCGAAGTTTGCATTCATAATAGTTTTTTGCATTTTTAACACACAAACAAATATAAATGCTAACTTTGGCCAGTGTTTGTGACTAAGTGGCTACTAAAAAAGACTGGACATACCCCAAATTGAATACTCTGGGTTGTCTACTTTAAAAAAAAAAAAAATATGTACATGGGAGGTGTGATTCAGATATTTATGACAGATAACAGTGTTACAATGTCACTATTGATAAATTTTAAAAATATATATTTTGAAAAAGCAATATCCTACTTGTATTTATAGCCCTATAACTTGCAAAAAAGCATGTTAACACGGGGTGTTTTTAAACTCAGGACAACATTTTGAATCTATTTAGCAGTTTTTTTCATTAGCGTTTGTAGATAAGTAAAAGATTTTTCAAGTAAAAGTTAAAAAAAACATTTTTTTTCTCCCAATTTTTCACCATATTTTATTTTTTTAAAGTAAATTATACATCATGATACAAATAATGATATGTAAAGAAAGCCCTTCTTGATTGAAAAAAAACAATATATAAATTAAATGGGAACAGTAAATGAGAGAGAAGAAAATTACAGCTAAACACAAACTCCACAAAAGTGGTAAAACAGCTCTAGTCCTTAACGTACAACATGGCCAAAACATTCCGGTCCTGAAGTGGTTAAAGTTCAATTTACAGAGCAGAAAATAAAAAAAAACTTTTAAAGTAAGTTACATCTGATTGAAAGTAAAACCATTTCTTTTCATGCAGGCTATGTGAGTCACAGTCAGTGGAGGTGTGGCTATGCCTGCATGAACAGAAACAAAAGTGATTTAACCTGTAAATGGTGGAGAATTGGGCGGTGAGACTTAAGGGTCATGACCTATACACCAAAACTGTTTCATTAAGCTTAAAATGTTTTGATGACTATAATGTCCATTAAACCTCATTTAAGTGGTCTGGTTGCAGCGTCTCTGTTCCATTTGAGAAAAACCTCAGTGAAACGACGCTAGACATACATACGCTTTGCATGAGGACATCCAGTGTCCATAGTCAATAGTCATATTCATCCATAGTCAATGCATTCCTAGAGGGAAGGCATGATGTGTGTGCAATGCTCATCAGGCATGCACATTTGGCTCCCCCCATCGCCTGACGTTGGAGGTGGTGCCCGACCCAGCACAGAGACACATTGCCGTTGGGACCAAGTAAGTGTTTAAAGGTTTTTTGTTTTTTTTTTACTTTTCACATGGTTAGGGGACATTAAAGTGGTTGTAATGCTCACACTGGTTGTTTTGCACTCCAGATGTTGTGGACTACATACATATATATATATATATGGCTGGCTTTCATCTGCACATGAGATGTTCTTGAGTAAAGTCTTAATTGGATACAAAATGTCTAATATTACTATAAATTATTTTTTTTTAAAGAAAGGCCTGTTGGACACTTTAACTTAAGGAATGTATATTGTTTCATTAATAGACAAAATGAGAGAAATGTGTGTGTATATATATATATATATATATATATATATATATATATATATATATATAAAGATCTTGTTAATCATGCCACACAAAACAGAGATTTATATAATTCAATCCTTTTCCGGCGTTGTTACAATTTACCAAGTCATTTGCATTCTTTAGAAAAAGATATCCTCTATCCACATACTCACCAGAGGTGGAGCTGGTTTTGATTGGTTTGTGGAACCCCAGCAAGTGAATGGAGGTGACTCAGGAGTTGCACTCGATAGTGAGGCTGGATATGGTGCATTCGGTAGCTGAACATTTCCAGGAGGGTGTGAAGGATTCCCCATGCATGCGATTTAAAAACAGTAGGCAAGAGCTGGCCTAAACAAATTAGCATGTTAATTAAAATCATTTTATGCAAGGACTGTAAACGTTTAAAGATCAGTCACCTTCCAACACCTCTTCATATGACTTTTATGGAAAAGATTTATTATACTCAAAAAATAACATTACACAATTGTCATAAGGGGCTTGATAATTTGATTCTTTAAGTTTTGGGATATGGATAATACTCAGTTGATCTGACAATCTAAATCACGGTCATTTCATTAACACATGAGGACACCAAATCAGGCGAATGCATATGAAAAGTATTGGATTTATCACTTTTCTATGCGAAGCATTGGACTGACCAAGCTCAGCAATTGCAATTCACACGCCTGGTGTTCTCAATGCTTTTCTATGAGAAGCATTTGATTTAACAAACAGAACTGATAACTTCACTGGATTAGGAGCAGATGTTTGTGGAGGGAGAGGGGGATGGGATTGTAACTTTTTATTCTAATATGGAAGGCACAGTAATCTCAAATAAAAAAAAATATACACTTTAAAGTTGCAAATTAACATATTCAATTTTAACATGAGAGTGTTCCTTTAAACCCGTGGAACCCTTTGACATAGTGTAAAATTTCTTATCAAGGTAATGTCATCTGTATATCCACACAATGTAAACCTTGTGCTGTGTCTCACTATTCTGCAGTGCTAATGTATTACAATCAGAAAGCTGAATGATTTCTCGTTACCAAATTTTAACAAGAGTTTATCATATATAGAAAGTTGAAAGAAAAGATTTATCACGTAGACTAGTGGTTCCCAAACCAGGATTTATGAATTTCCATGTTTCATTCCAAGGGACATCATGACAAAACCTGGACTGTTGGTGGATCTTGCAGACTGGTTTTGGAAACACTGGCATAGCCTACTAGATCTATTTTATTTTACACTAGATCACAGGTGTGACATTGTAGTAATTCGGCATTAGTGCTAGGTGGGTTCTTTGTGAGCAGGAAAGCTGGTGAATTTCTTGCTATGCTTGAGTCCTAATGTTGGCTGACATTATCAATCATTGTAAAAGTTAGCTATGCTACTATTACGGTTTTAAAAATGTGAACTTGATTACATAGAGTTTATGCATTTCAAGCAAAAGGAAAAATCACAAAATCAATTATTTAATTAAATAGTCAAAACCAAGGAAAACTTACTGATGAATCCTTTGATGCCGAGGGACTCTATTTCCATATAAACCAACAAGCGACTGTATGTTTCCACTAGTGCTGGAGCCAAAGCAAGGCTGGATTTGGCATGAGCCAGTTTAATCACTCTGGTAGCAATGCTGTGGATGAGGCTGTTGGTGGGAGGGAACATAAATATTAAGGAAATACATTATAAAACATGTATGACATCAATATCACACATGTACTAATTAATTATTGAAAGGGATATTCCAAAATTTTGCACTATACCATAACAATTTTATATTATATGCTTCAAATTAAGAGTAAGAATGAGACACAGAAAAGGTCTGGAGGTAATAGGCACACAAAGGGGGTTATAAGACACACTAAAGGGGGAATAAAATGCACTAGAGCACAAAAGGGTTAAGAAATTCAAATTACAAGAAGACAGGTTAAGATGCTTTTTATTTTTTTGAGCGGCAAAATGCATCTTCGTCTGTGTAGCTAAAAATCGTAGCACTGGCCCCTACAGCCACAGAAAGTCTGAGCGGGGTTAGAAGGATTGGGGAGGAGGGGAGGGAGAGAGGGGGCTGCCAGGATCACAACCTTTCAGCGATACATCTTTTAAAAGATACACATACCTTCATCTTCCCAGACATTGTCTCTAGTTTATATGACAGCATGCACATAGGATAACTATGTAAGTAATTAGAGAGTTTCAGGGCAAAAAGTACCTCATTTTTGCATGAACAGTTAGCGAGTCCAAGAGATTCATTGGCAGTGGGGTTATGGATCCTGAAGCCATGCAATTTGTCCCAGGTAGCGGTATCCTCATACTTCCATTGCCATAAATTGTTTCCACCAGAACTCCCATGGGCAATGTAAAACATTCAGAGTTTGTGGAATATGCATTACACAGTAAAGCTATTTTATAGTCATTCATCTGCAAGCTCTTATTTCTCAAACTTTGCTGCAAGAACCTATATAAGTAGAGAGAAGAGTGAATTATTTAAAAAAAAATAAAAAAAATTAAAGTGGGCAGTTGAATCATCAATTTTTACCTTTGCTCAAACAGCTAAACATTCTTTATGAATAAACTAAGGAAAATAATAAAAATCAATATATATATATTAATTGATTTTTTACAACTATGATGGTCCTAAATAATCTTAATTGTGAAAGTGAGTTAAGATGTTAATCTCTGGCATAAAAAGTCAATAAAAAAAGAGGCTCTTTAAAAGAGTCAGCTAATAAATATATCATGCAGTCGTGAAATTTCAACTGCTTTTAGAAACTTTAGTCCAGGATTAGGCAACCTTTTGCACTCCAGATGTTGTGGACTACATCTTCCCTCATGCTTAGCCTGCATTATAGGATATGTAGTCCACAACGTTTGTAGTGGTGCCAAAGGTTGCCTACCCCTGCTTTAGTCAGTAAGAAACCATGGTGGCTGCAGCTTCACAATAGCTTAAGAGCTACATATAAAAGCTTGGCAAAACATCAACAGAGTTGAAGACAGACAGACAAACACTATGAATTCTATGGTTTTACATATCAGGACATAATCATCTCTTCCTTAGTAGGTCTTAAAATTAGGTAAATACAACCTCAAATGAACAACACATTACATATTACACTGTATCATTAAATTTTTATTTTTTTTTAAGTCAAAATGGAGAAGCCATGTGTGAAAAACTAAGTAAAGCCTCCCTGCTTCCATAGGAATTAAGTGGCAAAATTGATCATCAAAATGTGCTCTTTAAAAGCTGAAGTTTTAGCAGTTTGCTGGTCTTGAGTATTCAGGTGTGTTTTAAGGAGGAAAGACATCATCAATGATCTTAGAGAATCAATTATTGCTGCCCATCAAACTGGGAAGGGTTATAAGGCCATTTTGAAACAATTTAAAGTCCATCATTCTACATCGAAAAAGATTATACAAAAGTTGAAAACATTAAAGACAGCTGACAATCTTCCCAGGAGTCCCAGCAAATTCACCACAAGCTCAAACCGTGCAATGCTCGGAGAAATTGCAAAAAAAAATCAAGAGTTACATCTCAGACACTATAGGCCTTAGTTGGCATGTTAAATGTTTAAGTTCATGACAGTACAATTAGAAAAAGACAGACCCAGCATGGTGTGTTTGGAAGGGTTGCCAGAAGAAAGCTTCTTTTCTCTAAAAAGAAAATGGCAGCATGGCATAGGTTTGCAAAGTTGCATCTGAACAAACCACAAGACTTCTGGAACAATGTCCTTTGGACAGATGAGACTAAAGTGATAATGTTTGGTCATTATGCACAACGCCACAATTGGTGAAAACTAAACATAGGATATCAGCTGAAACACCTAATTTCAACTGTCAAGCACGGTGGTGGAGGGGTGATAATTTGGGTTTGTTTTTCAGCTACAGGACCTGGGAACTTTGCAGACATTAAGTTGACCATTAACTCCTCTGTATACTGAAGCATTATAGAGTCAAATGTAAGGCCATCTGTCAGACAGCTCAAGCCTGGTAAAAATTGGGTCATACAACAGGACAATGATCCCAAGTACACAAGCAAATCTACAACAGAATGCCTGAAAAGGGAAATAATCAAGGTGCATTGGCCCAGTCAAAGTCCAGACCTCAACCCTATTGAAATGCTGTGGTGGGACCTTAAGAGAGCTCGCGCATAAACAAATGCCAAGTAACTCAACAAACTGAAGCAACTTGTAAAAAAAGAGCCAAAATTGCTCCGCAACGATGTGAGAGATTGATAAAAGTCATACAGAAAATGATTATTTCAAGTCTTTGCTGCTAAAGGTGGTTCTACAAACTATTGAATCATAAGGTGTACTCTGTTTTTCTCACATGGCTTCTCCATTGTAACTGTATTTTTGTTATCTAAATAATGACACCGTGTAATATTTCATGGGTTGGTCTTCATCTGAGATTGTATTTACCCAATTTTGAGACCAGCTAAGGAAAAGATGATGTCCTGATATGTAAAACTATGGAATTCAAAGAGGGTGTAATTTTCTTCCGATGGATATATGAATATATATATGCCCTGCTCATGAAAACTGATGATTTACCACAACACTTTATTATTGCTATCAGAGATTGAAATTAAGTTGAAAATTAACTATAACAAAATGTGGCATCAATGGTTATTCAGTAACACAAGTGACATTAAAATAAGATAGTGGTTTAAGGTCTCATACTCATGATGAAGTTTTAGTGAATGAGGAATCGGAATCTGCAGTTTGGAATTGTCATTCTGAGCTTTTCGATTCAGGTGGATCCATATACAGGTCATGGCAAAGGAGTGCGTGGACTGAGGTTTGGTGATATCAGGTACAGGAATGCACTGCAAAATAATCGGAATGCAAACAAATAACAGTATGTACGAAGGATATCAGTGACTTGTCCTAGCATTCCCAATATTTAAGATATACCTTGCAACAGTTAACATTTCATATTAAAACCGAACAGTGGGTGTTGTATATAAAAAGTGTGATATATGAAAAGGTGTGCAAAGACCTAAAAAGGGCACCTTGCAATGGGACTACTGGTTTCCATAGAGATTAACCAACCTCTAGTACTTCAAAAAGTCTCAGAATTTCAAATGTGGTCTAAACTGAAACCCCTACTTGTCTGAACATTTTTATTTTGTTTCACATGGGCTATAATGTTGACATTTTAGATGAGCACTATAGCAGAAGAACGCAGGCTCTGTCTGAGGTGAAGTCAACACACACATTTATTATGAAGACGTGTCAATCACTTTGACATTACCATTAATTTAACAAAGTTAATTGTTAAAATTATTTTATTTTATAGGGTTTCTTAAAATCTGTGGTAAAAGAAAGCATCCTGCCGAGACGTGAAATGAGAGCTGCCCATTTTTTTTTATAAATTAAAAGAGTTTAACACTCTCTTATAATGACAACATCTGAACCAAAGCTTACCTCTTTCTCTGGATATAAGAGATCAAAGAGCTTCATGACTGGGAGAAAGTCTGCCAACGCATTCTTCTGTATGCTTCCAGAAATGAATTGTAGCAGGACCCACATCAGGTGATCTCTGCCTTTAATAAGGCCTCGGCCTGCCAGCTGCAAGAAAGCATTTAAGCATCCAGACACAAGCTAACACACTGAGCATGCTTTTCACTTGTAAATTACTGCTGATATGGAAGAATATTCAAGAAGGCAAAACCCATAAACACACTATTTACACCACTCCTCATAAAAGGTACATGCCAAGTCATATTTTTACAGTATACACATTGGATCAATTGGACAAGAGTTTGACAAATTAATAAATAACCTTACATAAACTTTTACTCACACCCACAATCAATCATGCCACATGAATCAAAAGCATTCACACATACACAATAATAGAAAAACTCTCAAACCTATAAACACATACCTACCAGATACATTACATTCCCTTTCCTTCTCATCTCTGTTTGTTGTGAGTTGGGAAGCAGAGATCTAAAGATCTACCACAATTATCCTTGTGTGTCTAGTGCATGAGTAGGCTTTCTCTGTATTCTCTGGCAGCAGAGGAAGCTTCAGACACCACCTTGCAAGGCTGTGTGCAACCTAAAAGAACACTGAAAGGATGTGATGTGCATATCACTTCCAGCTGTGCTAAATTACAAGAGTATACAGAGACAGCCCAGTCACATGAAGTCTATGTGAGCCATTCCAAAGAGTGTTTTTATCCCTCTGACCCAGAACTATATGGGCATGGTGACCTAGCTCTTGACTACAGAGTAGTCAAGCCCTGTAAGAAGTGAACATTTCACAGCAACATATCAAATCATTACAATTTTTAGAATGCAGGGGAAGCGCACTAAAAGTGTGCATATGTATATTTGATATCTTCATGCATGTCACTGTGAATCTTTACTATTAAATATAACGTTATTGACATAATTCCCTACCAATTTGTCTTAAACAAGGCATAGATGAAATGTCACTGTCTAATCAGTGTTTCATAACCAATCGGAACTGATTTTTGCAGCCAAGTACCCCAATATCAAAATTCTGCATAGTATATACCTTTTGATGGAGAGACAAAACCATGTGTGGAAAACTGGCAAACTGAAATAGCACAAAGAAAATGAGCTGGCTGGAGAGATGCTGCCATAGCAGCTGGCTGGTTCCCCCATCGTCAAACTTCTCCTCTGTCTCAGAGCGCTCCATGGCATATACCACCAGATCGACCAACTGGTCCTCTAGCACAGGACAGCGTTGCTTGTGCTGAAAGGAAGAAATCATACAACACAGTATTCCAAAAGCGCTGCACACCACGTGACAAAAAAAGCAAACTGTGCACGTAGCCAGAGGAGGCCAGGAAGCATGAAATGGTAGGACAGGTGACAAATGTTTATCAAAGCTGCATTTAAGGTAACATATACTCAAAGTGGTTATAATTTTTGTTTACCAAAAACGTAGAAGCATGCATTCTCCAGAATATAGTCTTGTATAACATATAGAGATGACATCTGTCTCAGTACAGTAGGAAAAAGGGCCAAAAAACAATTGGCAGAGGAAGAAAATAACAAATAAGGAATAAAAAAGGTAAATATAAAAAGTAAAAACAAGGGAAAGAGAATAAAATATAGAGTGGAGGGAGAATTCAAAATAAAATGAAGGTCAATGGGGGGATAGGGAAAGACTACAAATAAAGGAAAAAATAGGACAATAGTTTTCTTAAAAACATGGTAGAGAAAGTGGAACATAAAAAGAATAAAGTTAACTCTAGATAAGAGGGTTAAGCATAAAAAAAATTAAAAAAAAATTGGGGTCTTGTATGTTATCAAGGGTTTTCAAGACGTTTGCTTCTATGTATACATCAATAAAATGTGTTTCAATGATATCTGAGGTTTGCATTAGAGTGTTTTTTTGGGGGGAAAGGGTTATTATAAGTGTTTGAAATTTTTTTTAAATATAGTAAGACTTCATAAATAAGCAATTATAAAAGTAAGGAACAGTTACTTTCTTTTACATTTAGCCAAGTGAGGAAGTCTGTGATGTCAGTATGTATGGAGATATACAAAACTGAACCGTACTTGTTACCATAATGCAGCTTTCATTGGAAACGTTAAACACATAAAAGATGATAAGCAGCTTAAGACTAAAAAAATAAGAAAATGTAATGTCCCTTTCCAAAGGCAAAATTAATAGTATATGTTTTACCGCAAAAATATATAGGAAGCAAAAACAGGAAAAAAATTTAAAACTATCTGTAAAATTTAGAATTTAATATTAGAATACACTTTAAAGGTTTTCTACAAACCTATTGCAAAATATTTATAATCTTATACACTCATAGGTTTGTCCTCTTTTGCCATAAAAAAAGGGATAAAAAAATAAATGAAAATTGAATTGAAATGTGTTTGACAACAACCCCTGACATGCTCTCTGCCGGCGGAGAAACAAACTGAGATGAGAGGCTGACAGCATTTTGGGAAGACATGCTGTGACGAGTAGTAATGCGTAGTCCTAAGGACCTGCCAAAACTGCACCCCCATCAACCAGAGGTCAGGCCAAAAATAGCAATATGAACACAACACATAATGCAATTATACTCAACCTGTGGCTCTGAAGCCACTGGCAGATCTTCGACAATTTTCTACAGGACTCTAGAAACTATTCTACGTACTGTAACCTTGTTTCTCAAGTAGGTTGGAATGCATCCACCAAGATCAGCTGCAAGTTATACTATAAAATGCTGAAATTTAATAGAATGCACTGTTTAAACAAATCACTGATAACATTAGTACTTAATGGGGGAAATGTTTTGTCTTTGTGAAGAAAGAATGTACACACCAAGACAAGGGCTTCCAAATTGGTCTTTGAAGACACCAGCAGCATATAATTTAATAAATCACTTAATTCACTCCAATTAGGGATACTGATAAAAGAAGCCATTTAGCTTCAGGTGGTTGGTAATAATGGACTGATATTTAATCAGTCTTATTAATTGCCTACTGACAACTGATTTGTAAAGATGATCAAAATAGTACAATTTTTCAGCCCAAAACAATTCTTCACACTTGCTGCTTAGTTGATATCCTGCAGGGGAAAAGTGGGTAAGCAAAAATACCTTCAGTGAAGCATTTTAGATTAGTGTAAAATCATTATATATGAAATATTAGTCTAGGAGTGTCAGTTTCTGCATTCTGGTTGTTCCCTTCTACTAAGTACTGGCTATTAAAATAAGAGAAGCGTTTTTGGTATAGCCTCATTCTGGGAATCAATCACAGATAGAGCTTCTTTCATACAGTACATAACTAGAGATAGGAGCTGGCTGTAATTTGTGTTGGTAGAGGCAATCTAAGAAGTAAGTAGTTGGAGAACCACAGGAAAGCTATTAAACAAATCCTTCATCGCACAGTGGACAAGCAACAGGATTAGTATAAAAACTATAATTGAAAAGGAAGAAAATTCAGGCTATATGCAAGACACTGGAGACTGCTTGTGACTCTGAGAATGGCAAAGCTTGAGTAAAACTGGCACAAAAACACTATTAGTCCAAGACACAAAGAAATGCTTGTAAAAATTCACATCACAACACTACAATGTTGTTATCTAGCATGCAAGACTAGCATGTACAGGGCTTGAGATTTACTAGTCCGGCACCATTAGGAAGAGAAAAAAAAAAAAAAATATATTTTGGTTTAGCAAAGAAATTAAAGTGGTCATAACTATTTTACGGTAAATTAAATGTACACAACTAACCATATTCCTTTTTTGGGGTTCAGCGTTTTAGAAATATTTTTTTTCAAGCTGTGGACTCCCTACGCACTTTGAAGCTCAATTGAAAGGTGTTACAGTTGCCATATTTCTGTATTTTGCAGGATCATTTTGAATATTTCATGCTATGGGATTGGGCACAATTAGATACTTTCTACAATATATTGCATTCATATACTGCAAGAAGAGCCAAGCTTTGTGTTACTCATGTACTATCTGTTGAATCCAAATGGTGTATATACATATTATATGCAAGCAAATAAATAATGCTCTTATCAATCATCTTCTACTTCTAAACACAGTCAGAAAGATATGGAAGGAAAAAAAAAGTAACAAGTTCCAAAAGATAACATCAAGTGGTTAAATTATGACTTTTTAGAATGGCCGCTTTCAGCAATTCAACTATGGGTTGGGGTAAATAAAATATATAATTAAAGGGACACTAGTCACCAAAACAACTTTAGCTAAATGAAGCAATTTTTGATGTATAGATCATGCAGTGTATAGTTTTGGTGTATATATCATGCAGTCTCACTGTTTAATTGACTGCCATTGGAAGTTAAAATCACTTTTGTTTCGCTTTATCCTAGCCACACCTCCCCTGGCTGTGACAGACACCACATCCTGCATGAAAACAAAACTGTTTCATTTTCAATCAGATGCAACTTAATTTAAAGGGACACTATAGTCACCAGAACAACTACAGCTTAATGTAGTTGTTCTGGTGAGTATAATAGCTCCCTTCAGGCATTTTCATGTAAACACTCCCTTTTTAGAAAAAAGGCAGTGTTTACATTTCCCCTAGGGACACCTCCAAGTAGATGCACAGTAAGCAGCCCTGCCGTTCAGCGTCCTCACGCTCTGTATGGAGACGCTGAATTTTCATCATAGAGATGCATTGATTCAATCAGTTTGTATGTCCTGCTCTGTAAATTGAACCTAAATTACCTACGGTGGGCTCCTGCAGGGTCTAGAAAGCTAACAGAGTAGAAGATAAGACATTCTAAATTAAACAGATTTTGCATGTATCAACATTAGATGACTCTTTACAGGAAGTGTTTAGGAAGGCTGCGTAAGTCACATGCAAGGTAGTGTGTTTAGGGCTACATAAACAAAGTTATTGAACACCTAAATGAGAGATAATTGATAATTGCAGGGGCATGATCTACACACCAAAGCTGCTTCATTAAGTTAAAGTTGTTTTGGTGACTATAGTGCCCCGTTAAATGTTATTAGACAATTTTGTATATTCCAATGATTTATATAAAGTTGATTTTAGGTCCACTGTAAATATGAGAAACGTATAAATATGAAAGAGAGAAGTAATAAGAACTGAGCATTAGCCATGAAGAGAAACTAATTTTGTTTGTGCTCTTTCACTACAACATATCATAAACATATCCCTCCAAACAAAATAGTACCAGTATCAGTGGCTTCATTTGTAATATCAAAAAGAAAATATTATTTATAAACTAAACTGGTTTAGAATTGCAACCAACAAATTACAAAATTTGAGGCTTTGGCAAATTTCACTGAAATTGCTAGATAGTTGTCCTCTCAAGTATTCCAGAGGAAAACATGATGGGGTTTGGATTATTACTATAAGCCATCAATGTCTAAAACAAAATCAGATGTGTGGTGCAGGGTGAGTCCCAGGGCACACTTGGCACTATGCTCACTACAACACATTGTAGTGGTTAAGGTGCTTGTAGTGTTCCTTTAAGGCATAACACAGTCTTTAGGACTTCCAGGCGATGTGTCGTGAGTGAGAATGTTCTCACACAGATGTTATCTTTCTGAAAACGTAGAATTGACGGGTCTGCTTTAACCTAGTACCACTTTTTTTTTCTTTAATCTGTCTTGCTTCCTTCTGGTACTTTGCATTCCACAGCTTCCTCTATAATCCATATTATTCTCCAAACACTTTACAATGAAACACAAACAGAAGTGTGGCTTTTTTTTTTTTTTTGCTAAAAAAAAAAAAATAGAAGAAAAATGTTCCCTTGCTTGAGAAATACATAGTGAATTTTTCATTTGTTTCCTATATAGAGCACCAATTTTTATGAATATCAAGTTTTATAACAGTCCTGCACTACATTACACTTTATGCCATATTTGGACCCATGCAATGAGCAAGTGGTTTACAGAAGGAGATTGCATACAAACGTTATAACCATGCCTAAAGCAATCAAACTCTAAACCTCCCCATAAAAGGTGAATTAAATTATTAATCTGTTCCCTCACAAAGTTAATGGAGAGGAAAGTAAATTAATAATTTTTTTTCTCCTTTTGTCTGATCAATGTACTTTTTGGATTTAACGGAATCACTTGAGGAAAGAAAACAACATACAATATAACAAAGCTTAAATGAACCCCCTTAAATGTGCAAGCAGAGCAAAGAAATGAGAAAAAGAGGGCAAAAGGATAGGCGACGCCATCAGGTTTTACTTGAGAAAACAAATATATTTACATTTAATTTTAAGGGAACGTAATTAAAGTTGTAGTTTAATAAAATGGTTCTAGGCATGTGGCAGTCCTACAAATTTCAAGCCCTGAACATGTATATGTATTTGCTAACTTGGATCAGTGGCTACTAAACAGCCAGCAGCACTGTTAGTCACAATACAAGAAGAAGGTTGTGAACATACCTGGGCAATGTTCAAGGTCTAGAGCATTGAAGGATGGGCAGGACAAGACAGAACAAAAAAAGGAAGAAAAAAAGAAAAGACAAAACAGTGACTATGAGGCCTGCCTCAAGATGCCCAATGTCACAGTATACCCACCAATACTGTCTAACAAGGCAGAGGGTATTTAAATTTAAGTAGGTGGTCTTTGGAAAGAAAGCATTAGGAATATTTTGGTAAACCAAGGGTTGCGTGTATTACATGGTGCAGTAAGCTGGCATTGGGCACTCATGAGACTGGCCTTATAGGAGGAGGGAGGGAAAAAAGCAATGCAAAACAAAAAGTCATCTTTTTAAATAACTACTCAATTTTAACATCCCCAAGGCAGTAAGCAATGAACAATAAGAACAACTTGTGGTTTATATTTAGTTAAATAATATAAAGTACCTTTATGAGATATTAAAATAAGATTACTAGGTGATCACGATTAATACTGTTTTGTTCAGATTGTTATAGCAAAGAAAAGGTGGAAGAATAGTGCAATATTTGCATGGAACATTCTCTATTGCAATGTAATACCTGCTTGTTAAGACCCAACATGTTGCACACCATATCGCGAGAATACGGCTGCTCCAGAACATATCTTAAGAGGCCAGTCTGAGGCTCAAATAAGTCCTGCAAGGAAAGGTAAAAAACATTTATTTTCTGTAAAACTGTTGTACAAGTGAATTATGTAGTGCCAAGACTGTACATTAACACTTAAAAATAATTAGATACAAATTGTTACCAGACTCAAACACATCAAAAACTATCAATAAGGAAAACTCTATGCTACTAAATTCATACCTGATTTAATGAATAATTGTGTAAAAAAAAAAAAAGCTATTCACATTTCACAGTAATCCAATGCATGGAGGCACATGTAAACACGTTCTCCCATCTTTGTGCAATTTCTGTGCAACTTGTAAACAACACAAAATTACCAGATTCTGAGTCATGCCAAAGAAAAACATTGAAGGACTGTGTGGGGGTTAGGCAGTCTGGGCACACAACAAATGTAGCATTTACTTGCATTTTTATGCGCACAATAGTGACTGCAAGTAGAGTTGGCTACGTGAGCAGTGCTTGTACGCAATGTGCGCTGAAAAATATCACAAAACTAAGACAAAACTGACAAAGTCATCCCACAATCAAAGTTTAAAGCTGGCTGGTGACAGGACAAAAGAGTGGATCCAAAACCCAAGACAAAGAAAAGAAAAAGCTAAATATTTTCAAGAGCAATGTGGTAATGTGCAGGGGCGGGCTGGGCCGGGGGCAGGGAGGCAATTGCCACCCAGGCCGCCCTAAATCATTTTAAAACCGACCGATGCAGGGCCGGTCCTAATGCTGTAGCCGCCTGAGCGCTCTGTAAAGAGCCTCAGACGGCTGCAGTGCTGCTTCTCTCCTCCCCGAGCTTGTAGCGCAGCCAAGCTTCTCTCTGGTCCACGGTGCCCGGCCAGAGTGATAGGAAAGTGCACACTTAGTGTGCACTTCCTGTCAGTCCGGCCGGGTACAGGAAACCGAAACTCCTGTACCGCGCGGAGTTTCTGTTTCCTGTACCCGGCTGGACTGACAGGAAGTGCACACTGAGTGTGCACCTTCCTATCACTCCGGCCGGGCACTGCGGACCGGAGAGGAGCTTGGCCACGCTACAGGGAAGGGGAGGAAGAAGAGGAGGAAGAGGAGGAGGAAGAGGAGGAGGAAGAAGAGGAGGAAGAAGAGGAAGAGGAAGAAGAGGAAGAGGAAGAAGAGGAAGAGGAAGAAGAGGAAGAGGAAGAAGAGGAAGAAGAGGAAGAGGAAGAAGGACGAGGGCAGTAAGAAGGACGGGGGCAGTAAGAAGGATATATTATCACTAATATTATTAGTGACACTGATCTATAATTTACCTTACATTAAAGGGACACTATAGACCCCAGAACCACTTCAGCTTAATGAAGTGGTTCTGGTGTCTATAGCCGGTCCCTGCAGGCTTTTTAATGTAAACATACACTGTGTGCAGCACTGGCGTTCGTTCATATGGCAGATCATATGGGGGAGGCATTGTGATGTCACATGGGGGGGCGGCAAATTTTTCTTTTGCCACCGTGGCTCTGATCCTGGGCAGGTGCACCAGTCTACTGGTGACGCACAGGAGGGGAGTGCACGGATTGCACTGCACTCTCCTCCTGACCAGACCAGTCTTTACCGCAGTGCAAGTGCCCTCTGCCCCTAATTTACAGTGGCTTACACTCATAGCAAGTAGTGCCTGGAGCCCTTTGCAGAGACAGGAACAAAGAGGTTCTGCGGCAGCTGGCCATCCTGAAAGCATTACATTAACCAGCTGTTCCCCATGCAGCCACAGGTAGCGCTGTGCTAGGAGAATGTGATTACTCTTCACTTCCTCCCAGCCTACAGAGCAGCGCATGGGAGAGAGAGAGGAGGAGGTATTATTTAATCTTACAACAAATCCAGTAAGCAAATCTTTATAAATTTGGGGGGGGATCAGCTCTGTTTCCACAGTTTATTGGTGTTTACTCTGATGTCTGTATTAATATTGAGGGATTTCTAAGTAGTATCATCAGTGTGTGTCAGCAGGACCAGCCGTTGGGGTGTGCAAGCTGTGCGGTCACGCAGGGTGCCATGACAACAGAGGCGCCCGGCGGCCAAAACAGCTCACAAGTTGGGTACACCAGCATATTCAATTTAAACGATTCGCTGGTGGTCCACTGGTGTGCACCAGCAGTAGGTGCAGTCAGATTATATCCTCTCCCTCGTCGTTCCGGCGCTAAGTTAGGGAGTCAGAGCACAGGCTCAGAGATTCTCAGCCTGCGCTCTGACAACATTGAAAGTCAGAGCCGTGAAGGAGCTGGTATGGCAAAAAACTACTGATTGGCATAACAATAATATCCGTTATAAAACCAGGAAAAGGTGGGCATGGATGGTGAACTGATTTGGTGGTGCAATGGGCCACTTGACTGGTTTTGCCCCCCAAGCCTAAGGCTGCCAGCCCTCCCCTGGCAATGCGGTAAGGATAGCCTACATGGTAGTTAAAACTAGCAGAGTTATTCAGTCACCCATTAAAAGAACACTATAGTCACCTAAAAAACTTAAGCTTAATGAAGTAGTTTTAGTGTATAGATCATGCCTCTCAGGTTTCACTGCCATTTAGGAGTTAAAAAAAAACTGCTTCATTAAGCTAAAGTTGTTTTAGTGAATATAATTTTTAACTGCATGGTTAAAATAAAAGTTAAGTTTATGAGCTTATGATCTCTTAAAGTACTTTGCACATAAGCGGGGTCCGCAAACCAGTCAGTATCTGGTGTGACCACCACTTGCCTCACGCAGTGCAAAACATCTCCTTCGTATAGAGTTGATCAGATTGTTGATTGTGGCTTGTGAAATGTTGGTCCACTCCTCATCAATGGCTGTGCAAAGTTGCTGGATATTGTCAGGACCTGGAACACGCTGTCATATACGCCGATCCAGAGCATCCCAAACATGCTCAATTGGCGACATGTTCGGTGAGTATGCTGGCCATGCAAGAACTGGGATTTTTTTCAGCTTCCAGGAATTGTGTACAAATCCTTGCAATATGGAGCCGTGGATTATCATGCTGAAACATGAATCTCGTCACAGTATCTCTGAGCATTGAAAATGCCATCAATAAAATGCACCTGTGTTCGTTGCCCATAATATACGCCTGCCCATACCATAACCTCACCGCCACCATGGGCCACTCGATCCACAACTTTGAAATCAGCAAACCGCTCACCCACATGACGCCACACACGCTGACTGCTATCTGCCCTGTACAGTGAAAACCGGAATTAATCTGTGAAGAGAACACCTCTCCAAAGTGCCAGACGCCATCGAATGTGAGAATTTGCCCACTCCAGTCGGTTACGATGACGAACTGCAGTCAAGCATGCAGAGGAATTTCCCTGAGACGGTTTCTGACAGTTTGTGCAGAAATTCTTTGGTTATGCAAACCGATTGTTGGAGCAGCTGTCCGGGTGGCTGGTCTCAGACGATCTTGGAGGTGAAGATGCTGGATGTGGAGGTCCTGAGCTGGTGTGGTTACACATGATCTACGGTTGTGAGGCAGGTTGGATGTACTGCCAAATTCTCTGAAACGCCTTTGGAGACAGCTTATGGTAGAGAAATGAACATTCAATTTATGGGCAACAACTCTGGTGGACATTCCTGCAGTCAGCATGCCAATTGCATGCTCCCTCAAAACGTGCGACATCTGTGGCATTGTGCTGTGTGATAAAACTGCGCATTTTATTGTGGCCAGCCTAAGGCACACCTTTGCAATAATCATGCTGTCTAATCAGTATCTTGATATGCCACACCTGTGAGGTGGATGAATTATCTCGGCAAAGGAGAAGTGCTCACTAACACAGATTTATAAGGTTTGTTAACAACATTTGAGAAAAATAGGCCTTTTGTGTACAAAGAAAAAAAGTCTTCGATCTTTGATTTCAGCTCATGAAAAATGGGGGCAAAAATAAGTGTTGCGTTTATAAATTTTGTTCGGTGTAGATACATTTCTTACAGCCACAAATCAAGGACTAGAATACTAGACTTTTTTTTTTTTTTACCTTTTTATGCGGTATCCACCCTACTATTGTATGTCAGACATAACTATAACTGGCTCTGGACATATTCAATTATTAATACATTAATGAAAATATTTACACATACAGCAACACATTCATGCTTTATTCTATGGGAATCTGAGCAATGCCTAACAGACAGCCACTTTTGATGGCCGGTTGATCCCCTTTATGTTGTCATTTGCTGGGATTTTATTGCTTTATTTTATTTGCTGGTTGATCCCCTTTATGTTGTAATTTGCTGGGAGTTTATTGCTTATTGATATGGCTAGAATGTAAAGAGACTGAATCCAGAACAGGATGAAGACTTAGTTGGCTGGAAAGTGTCTTGGTAGGATATGCACAGGACTAAGATTGACCAGACTGTGACTTAATGCAGTGAACTGGAAAGAATTAGTACAGACTAGCAGCACCACCAGCAATTATAGGACTGATGAAAGACAAACAACGGTTGCACTAAACAGTACATCTGCAAAACTGTCTTCCCTGTGGAAGTGTCTTTGCATTTATAGGGATGGTGTAACACTGCTGATAAGAGTATGCATGATTAAATGTACACATATATGCATAAACATGTGAACATATTTGAGATTCATATAACGTAAGTTAACAAAACATGGGGAAGTTGCTTTTGTATTCTGTAGCATTCTCATGCCTGGGTATAGAAATAGCAGATGTGTTTCAAGCTATAAAATCATCATAGCTAAAGAAATTATACCTTATCATAGGGCAAAAGTCCTTTTAAAGGGAAACGTAGTGTCAGTGGATCCAGTTTCCAGGAGTTACAGATAGCGCCTGAATTGTTCACCACAGGGAGAAGACTGCAACGCCCTGCACACAGTGAAATTAAAAAAAAAAATGGTTACAGTTCTACATGATTAAGTTTATATAAATATATATATATTTTTTTTTATTTTTTTTAAACCTAAAAACTGATAAGCATCTTATCTGACAAAAGACTGGGGGAGAGGAGATGGGATCAGGACAGTGGGAGAGATGTGGAGAATAGGCCTAATATGAGAAGTTGAGACGTACTCCAGAAAGTAGCTGATTAAGTAAGCAGAAAGAGATCCTTTATTACACTTGATATATACTCAAACCATGAGCTCAACAATCTTCATGGTAGTGTAGATTTCAAATGGTATTATATAGTGAGGACATCACATGAGCAAATTCCCCTTTTTTTCAAAGCTCTGGTGAAGGGGCAGGTATCAGGGATTTGGCCTCATTTAGGATGCATCTCAAAATAGATTTATTTATTTATTTGGGGGGGGAGGGATTAGCAAAGATGGGCATTAGTACAATGGATAAACACAAGTTCGGATTAAATAGGGGTATTGTCAAATATTTCACTAAGAACTCTTGAATCCATTGCTAGAACAGTGCAATTTAGATCTAATACCACTATATATGCTTGAAGGAGCCAGGCCCAGCTTTACATGTCCAACTGTAAGATTTCAACTGGTTAATTTTATGTAGGTCTTCAAATGTTCTGTAAATATGAAATCAATGTTTAGTTTATATCTTGGCAGTTGACCTGCCTAAATAATATTAATTGTGCTCGGTGAATGACATCCAAAGCATCTTCTTCCAACCCCCTGTAATATTAAGAGACACTGTAAGTATTATAACTGCTTCACTGATTAAAATGATTATAGTGTCGTTGCCAACCTTCTGTTCAGTGTTAAACAATTTTTAATGATGCTAAATAAGACTTCCCAGCAGGAGGGGGGGTGAGGGGAGGGGGTATCAGATGACCACTTTCAGCTTATCACAGCTGGCCATTGCTGTTACAAACTAGTATTGATATTGGTACTGGTATTTCTGCCTTAGTCATGCCTACAGTGGGGACTTGGCTGTGGACAGTAAAGGACCTTTGTTCAGTGTTAAACTAATCAAAAATGTTTTACATAGTTACAAAGGCTGAAGAAAAAAAAAGTTAAGTTCAGCCTTTCTCACATCCGATTCTGCGATCCAAAAGATGGCAAAAAATACACTTTTCCAATTTTGCAACTAACAAAAAAATCCTAATTGACACTAGAATGGCAGTCAGATCTCTACCTCGATCAAGAAGCTATTAACCCTCAAATTAAATATTATATCCCTGAATATTATGGTTTTGCATGAATTCATTTAGTCGCTGTTTACACATCTTTACAGACTCTGATAAAAGCAACTCTTTGCTCTTTGGTTAAAGAATTCCATATCTTTATTGTACATACTGTAAAAGAAATAAAAAAATAAAATAAAATAAAAAACACTTTACTTTGCCTTAGAGTAAATACTAATCATTCCAGTCTTAATGGGTGACCTTGTCCAATATGTTTAATTAGATTTTCAGACAATGGTTTGTATTTAGTATTTCTTCATAACTAATATTTTCCATTCCCCTTATTCATTTTGTAGACAGCTTCTGTCCTTTTTCTTTTAACACTGGCATGAGGAATCGCACCAATAAGATGAAAGGTTTATAGCATCTACAGTGACCACTTAAATCCAATGTCCCTTTCCTACTCCATTAGCATTGGAAGCATCTTGCCTTACACATCATTTTTCTAATTAGGACAGTTTTTAATTTAGTTTCTCTTTATGTGGTATCGAGTGGTAGTAGTAAAATACCTAGTTTGAAGATATGAACATTGAAGGCATCTCAGAGTCTCATCCCTGGTTAACTATAACTATATGCAAGTAGATCGCAAAATACCGTATAATAATTTTGGGGTGGGACACAGTTGCTTTGTGAAAAGAAAAACACACATCCTTGTCCTCTCATTCCCTGCATAAAGTCTTCACAAAGTATCACTCTATGCAAAACATTACAGAACTCTTTTTCCTGTGTCTGCTTTAGTGATTTTATACTTTTGAATTAATTATTCAAAGATATACTTCTTACCGCAAATTGAATTGATTCGTGCTGTAGGCCGAAAACTGTCCACAAAGTCTGATACCAGATTTCCCAACAACTGAAAAAAAGTGAAAAAAAGAAAATTAAAACCAATGTTTTAATCTTTGAGTTCTTGTGGTCCACTGGGATTTTTAAATCTCTTTTTAGTACATATACATATAATAGAATTTTTCATTTTAAGTTCAGAACTTTTTGGAGTCATTTTCACTCACAGAACCATGGGCATCCGCAGGGTGGGCAAAGGGAGACACGTCTTGGATTTTTCAGTTTGCATCTGTATTTTTCTTTCGAGATTGATAATACACTGCACTACCGGCGCCGGCCAGTAGGTGGTGCTGTGTGTGGAGAAAGGCAAGGATAGGGAGCTACATCTTATCCCTGCTTCTCTCTCCTGACTGAATCCGCAGGGGAGCAGCACGGAGTGCAGCCAGCAACTACCAGACTGCAGAGACAGCCTACAGATCAGGTAAGTGAGGGATGGGAGACAGCCTACAGATCAGGTAAGTGTGGGATGGGGGGCAACCTACAGATTAGGTGAGGGGTGGGCAGCATACAGGAAGGGTCGGCAAGAAGCAGGAAGGTAAAGTAGGAGAAGGAGCAGAAAGGAGAAGGAACAGAAATGAGCAGGAAGGGATATCAAGGAGCAGAAAGGGGTAGAAGGAGCAGAAAAGAACAGGAAGGGCCTGCAGGGAGCAGGAAGGGGCAGCAAGGGTAGGCAAGAAGCAGGAAAGGGCAACAAGTGTCTGCAAAAAGCATGAAGGGTCTGCAAGGGGCAGGAAGGGACAAAAGGAGCACAAATGTAAAGGAGCAAAAAGAATCAGAAGGAGCACAAAAGTAAAGTAGGAAAAGGAGCAGAAAGGAACAGCAAGGGCAGAAAGGTCAGCAAGGAGCAGGAAGGTAAAGTAGGAGAAGGAGCAGGAACAGAAATGAGCAGGAAGGTCAGCAAGGAGCAGAAAGGGGCAGCAAGGAGCTGGAAGGGGCAAAAGGAGCACAAAGTTTTAATCCCTTAAAAGAAAAGAGAGCACCTAGGGGCCTCCTGGCATCATAGCATTTTCAGTTAGATGAAGTTGTTATGGTGACCAGAATGTTCCTTTAATTTGATTAAAGGAACACTATAGTGTCAGGAAAACACACATGTATTCCTGACACCATAGTTGTGAAAACACTATTTACCCTGGCTTTATGTGATAATGACTATGCCCCTCCCCTTCATGACACTGTCAAAAAAGGGGCCACACATGGATGTCATAATTATGCCCGACCCCTGGAAAGATTCCTGCGGATGCCCATGTATAGAACCTATTATTTGGCATGACTAGTGTGTATCAATCATTATTACACAACTACAAAGAGAATTGTAATGCTCACAGAAAATATTTTTATTCAGGTTCACATACGATTATCCACTACAAAAGACAAGTGACCAGAGATCCAAAACATTTTGGATTAGCAACATATGCCCAAAAAGACTGCTACAGAGCAATGCCAAGGTAAACAAACTAGTACAGTTCATAGCCCTCATCCATCTAGGATACCCACAGCACAAAAATAGAAAAAAATTCAAAATAAAGCAAGTAAAAGACAACAAAAAAGCAAAATCTAAACAAACCAAGGTACCCATCACAAAACCATAACTATTCCTCCCATGGCACCCACACCCTTGTGAAGGTCTTCATAGAATTATGGACTATTGTAGTAAGCTTGTTCATTAAATAATTATCAGTCATTTTACTCCTAACCCCAGCCATAATAGAAACATTGGAATGTTACCAGCCAGCCGCCAAAGTCCACAATCTTTAAGAGCTTGAGAATTATAAATAATTTCGGATAGAAGGAAAACCCATGGATCAAAAATAAAAGGCCTGTGAAAAATTTTAGACAGTAAATCCTTAACCCTTTCCCAATAGGGAATGACCTAGGGGAAATCCCACCATATATATTTATATGTCCCCTTCGAACCGCAATTTCTCCAACAAGAGTCATTTGGGGGTTTTACCCATCTTAAAATCTTTAGTTGAGTGGTGTGCCACCTTATAAGTATTTTAAACATTTGTTCTTGGAGCCCTACACAGATGGAAACTGTTCGAGGTGCCTCCCAATATATTAGAGAGAACATTCGGAAGGTATTTCTAACAAATACACTACCAAGTATCTGTTCTGCTTGGGTCACTGTAGCCACTAACAGTGCAAGCCAGTGTGCCAGTGAAATTATCTTCTGGTGACCAGTCCATTCTTGCAAATCCTTAACGTGGATGCATCAACAGTGCTTAGTTTTTTTAGTGAAACACAGCTTTATAAAAATGTTTCAAAATGTATTATTTTGATTTTAAAAATATGCCTGTTCCATGAAGCTAAACACTTACCCAATGTGGGAGTTTCCCTTCAGGGTAGAGCTTGCGGATTTCAGTCACTGCAAAATAGGCAGGGAGAAGGCAGGCATTCCTTTCCAAGATATAGGCTACAACCTAAATACAGAAACATGCCACATTACACTTGTGAACAGATTACAGTTCAATGGAAGTGGATTCAGAACCTGAGAACAGTGAAGTGGAATCAAACATATGCACAAAAACAGTAAATGGACTAAACCTTGATGGTCAAGGTTAAAGGGGAACCAACCTCTTTTCTTACACAACATGGAACACTCTTGTTTTTTCCCTCACAATCTTATGTGCAGAGGTTACAGACATTAAAACCCTGAATACATTGCCAGACCAATAATTAGCATGTACCAACAGAAGTTTGTGCAGTGAAGAACCCTTGCAACCCCAGTAGCTAGAATATATGATAGGTATTGGGGAATAGTTTTTTTTGTTTCCCTTCAATACTGTAATTTGATCGGTCCTTCATCAACAATAACATTTGTTTCTACTAAAATAAAAAGGATATTTTTAGTGAATTTGATTTGTTTTAGACTACAGCCCAGTGCATTAGATTTATTTTTATATTTCATTGTGTAAAGGTAATTTTACTATACAGTTTCTAACTAGTCATACAACTGTTACCTCTCTTGCTGCTAGTAGTTGCTGTACAACTGCAGAGCTGACAGTGTTTGGAACAGTTTGAATTTTTTCCAGTATCACTTTTAATAGATCTCGCACACCCTGAGGAACAAAGAAAGAAAACAAAATAAGAAATACTATATCAGAGCATAACCTATGTTAGTGCATACTTCAAACATATAACAAAATGAATATGCACATTACTTATAACCAGTTGAGTGATCTTTAAGACGTTTACTTTGTAATTAATGATAATCAGAAATTGCCCTTTAATACTGGACAGCCTAAACATTCTTTATTTGCAATAGTTATTACAACATTATAACAAACTAATTAGCTGTGAATATGGACTTTAAGCAGTATCAAGGATCGTTGTCATTTATGTAATCGCTCATACAAAGCTTAAGATTTTTTTTATGCTTTCTTGTTTGCTAAAGATATATGGTACAACAATAGGTTATTGTGCTACAGATAAGTTAATGAAAACAATCTGTTATATTAAAAATAAACCTTTTTTCTTATGATGATACATTTGGCTTTGCAAAGATAAGTTTTTGAGTAAACCAGAATATTTTTCAGTTAAGTATTATATGAAACCATGTACTGTTTTCATGCCCTGTAATAATATTCCCCATTTTACAAAATATTAATCAAAAAGGCATGCTGTGACTTGTTCAGTATTGCAATATCATGCAGTTACTTGTATAACCCATTTGGGAAAAACAATAAAATAGGAATGTGTTAGTGTCTCTTTAAATGGTTAAGACTGCCTCCATGGCCTCTTCTGCATTTAGAAATGGTTATTGAAAATGGAATCTGGAAGCACGCTTGAAAAGGGAAGCATGTATATCTCTTCCTATCCTCCCTTGCTTGTGTGCTCCCTCCTCTCCACCAATCCAAGTAAATAAGTAGAAAATAAATAGTTAAAAAAAGGTTTGAAGTAACCATTTACATATGCTGTTACATATCTAACTCCTAACATAGTATATATACTTTTTACAAGGAATAGGTGACTCACAATATCACATGGACTTTGTGTGGTTTCAGAATTCTATGTGACACACTGACATGGTCTCCATGACTACCTAATTTCATATCTCCATTTGACGACATTCATTTAACTTATCAATGAGTTGTGTATAAACTGCATGTAATTGAATGTCTTGATATATAACTTTTTAATGACCAAATAGTTGTGTAACGACAAGGTGCAGATCTTGCTACAATCAAATCATCAGACAAGAAATGCCAGAAATGCATCTCTTCTCTCTCATTAATACTTTTTTTTCCCTCACATTAAACATTTAATCAATGCCATGTGGGTACGCCTATGAGTTAATATGTATATATAAGGGTTTAGTGTTCAACATATCAGAATCCAAGTCTCTAAAACTTGAATTTCACATGACATTTGTTTTTTATATAACATGTTTTAAAAGAATTAACTTAAAATCCTTCTACTGCTGAAGATTATAGAAAAATAAGCTACCTGGTCAAATGTGAGACGTTTTAGTTGTGCAGTGAGTTGTGCAGTCTGCTTTAGAACAAAAGAGGAATTTAGCACATTATTTATCTGCTTCTCACCTCCCCATGCATTTGCAGACAAAGGAGAGATTGTCTGAAGAGCATGAACTGTTACTGGCCCTCAGAGGTGACAAAATGATTTCAAGCAGATAATCAGGATACAGACATTTACTAAACAATGTTCAATGAGGAAGATCCATCAGTGAAGCCATCATTTTAATGTACTATGTATGCAGACTTCCACACACAGAGTTTGGCAAGGTTTTTCATGGTTTTCAAGCAATGTTATCTATAAAATCTTGGGGCTCATTCTGTAAGATAGTAAGAGAGAAGGGAAGCTGTATGCATTTGATGAATGTAAGCGAATACATCAGCTTACTTGGACATATAAGCCAGCTGCAGATAGCTCAGTCAGTGAAGTCAAAACAAAGTTTAAAATAAACCTTTTGCTCTGTTAAACATTTTGGAACACACTTCCAGGCAGCATATTTTATCAAACTCTTGGAATATTCTTAATTACAAAAAGTATAGATGTGTGTGTGCGAGTTTGTGTGTTCTAATAAGCATAACCTTCAAATATAGTTACCTTGTAATCAACGCCACCAATAATCTTCCGGACAAGTTTGAATGTTAATACCCATAGCTGTGTTCTTTCCCATTCCAGGGTGTCCGAGTTAACTAGAGACTCACAGACCATTCTAAAAAAATAAAAAGAGAAAAATAGGAAAATAGTTCCTGATGAATAACAAGATTTGGATACCAACAATATTTTGGAATAGTAGTGTCATACTCTACTAATGAAACAATATGAGCACCATAACCAATTGACAACTTAACTGGGTCCTGTCATGTGCTCATTGCAGCCACTAGCTCTGCCAATGAGCTAAGCCTAGCCATGCAGGGCCAGATTTACAAACAGTTCTCAGCTAACTCTCTCACCCTACTGTAGGACTTAGCTCAATGGTGCAAATAAAAGTTCCCTGCAGATGCTTCGAGCACCATAGGAGGTGGTGATGGACACCTGGTGTGACCAAGGTAAGTTGCAAACCATTTTTGGGTTAGGCGATGGTTGAGTGACAGGCAATAGAGGATTTTACTTACTGGAGTATATTCGAAGGAAGGTCTTGTTACCAGTGGGGTACCTCAAGGATCTATACTTTGACGAATTCTCTATATTTTTATTAGTGATATTGCAGAAGGTCTTGGTGGTAAGATGTGTTTTTTTGCTGATGATACTATGATTTGCAACAGGGTTGATGTTCCAGGAGGGATAAGCCAAATGGCAAATGATTTAGGTAAACTATAAAAATGGTCAGAGCTGTGACAACTGACATTTAATGTGGATAAGTGCAAGATAATGGACGTAAAAACCAAAGGGCAGAGTATAGGATATTTGATACCCTACTAATCTCAACATCTGAGGAAAGGGATTTAGAAGTAATTATTTAAGATGACCTAAAGGTAGGCAGATGATGTAATAGAGCAGCAGGACATGCTAGCAGAATGCTTAGTTGTATTGGGAGAGGTATTAGCAGTAGAAAGAGGGAAGTGGTCATGCCATTGTACAGAACACTGCAGTATTGTAGGTAGTACTGAAGACCATATCTCAAGAAGGATATTGATACTTCGGAGAGAGTTCAGAGAAGGGCCACAAATCTGGTTCATGGATTGCAAGGTAAAATTGCCAGGAAAGGTTAAAGGACTTTAACTGTTGCACCATGTACCACTCAAAAAATTTAGTTTTATAACAGAAAATCAGACATCAGAGTCTCAAGCAGGTGGATATATCTCCAGGATCCAAAGTAAGAAGATAGTGTCCACAAGGGACAGCATTAAGCAAATATAATTCACCATAACTGCACCATAAGCTGCAATGTCACTATAAGGGGTCTTTGCAAAATTGCAAAGACACCAGAAAGTGAAAGAGCTGCTTTGAGATGTAGCAAACTATAGACTCAGTTAAAATTACAAAGCAAATGATGACAAATTTTGCTTTCAAGCATCAATATATTTCTTGCTTTACGTCTTCTTCAAACCCTATAAATTAACATATACATAATTCACACAGATTAGAACATATAAAAGCACTAGTAAAATACCTTGGTGGAAGAAGCCCAGTTTCAACAGCCATTGCTAAACAGTCATAGAGAAATGAAATCCGTTTTGGACTGTGTTGCCCATGAATAAACCTTACAACCCACTGGACACATTGTTCATGGGACTCCTGAGTACAAAAAAAATAAAGATATAAGGACCACTCATCAGTGCTCGTGTTACTCATTAGTAATAAACAAAGAAAAAAAAAAAAATCACATTACATCAATAAATTATAGGTGATTTTCAATGTCTGATTAAACAATAATCCCTTTAATTCATTATACATATATATGCAAAAACAAATATTTATAAATAAAAATAAATAAAAACAGGTTTCCAAAATGCCAGGCTGTGACTGCTGCTTACATAATACTTTCTATAGTAATTACAGGACTTCCCTTGGGTCACTCCATTCCTATAGAACAGCCTTCTTTCCGCTCTCCCAGTCTTTAATTCTTTAAGATATCCCATAACCCCTTAAGGACACATGACATGTGTGACATGTCATGATTCCCTTTTATTCCAGAAGTTTGGTCCTTAAGGTGTTAAAACCCATGTCTTCAGAATAGCCTATGGCATATAAGGGCAACTCACTTCTCAAGTATATCTTACTTTCTCAACTTAATTAGTGGATCCACACTCATCTACATTCTCCAATTCTGCCGCTTTCCCATCGTATCCCCTGGATGACATCGTGAACGCTACCTTTCCTACTGTGTTTTTATATCTTACCTAATCTAGATTGTAAGCTCGTTTGAGCAGGCTCCTCGAGAACCTATTACTCCAGACAAAATGTGTAATAGTTTGTCTCTGTTAAATAGCGTTGTAGAATAAGTTGGCGCTATATAAATGCCAATAAAAAAAAATAATATATGGGAGCAAAAAAGATTTCGGGGAATTGTATTTCAATTGTCAGCTATGTGCTGAAGAGAAGTGGCAGATGAAGTATGACTAAATTACTCCTTCTGAAGGGCACACATAAAGTAAAATAAATGATAACCCTGTTCTTTGAAGGTCAGAAATCACTCTTGATAAAGGATTGTGGCCAAAACTTTGGGAGAGGGGGGTTATTTTTCTTTGTTATTGTCTCTCTCTCCCCTCTTGGTTCATTTATCACCATGTGTGACTGATATGCAATCCTTTACTATTGTGGATTGATTATATTATTTTTTTTTTTGCAACACTCTTTTTCTGCAACACTGTCATTCAATATTATTTAGACTTGTGATGCTTAGAAATGTATATACATGCAAAAAAAAAACAGGCATATCTCATCTGGTCCTAAATTAGCTATTTGAATTATTTCTGTGTTTTTTTACATTTTTTGGATTACTAATAAAGTTTGAATATATTGTTTTTAATTAGGTCTGCTCTTATCTTAGATGAACTATAACTCCCAGAATACTAAACTAATTAGTTCTTAAAAAAAAAAAAGAGAGAGAAAAAAATAATCACTAATCATTAGTGATGTCCCGAACGGTTCGCCGCGGACTCATCAGTGAGTAAACTTTGACCCTGTACCTCACAGTCAGCAGACACAATCCAGCCAATCAGCAGCAGACCCTCCCTCCCAGACCCTCCCACCTCCTGGACAACTCACTAAGAATGCAGCTTCAAAATGGATGCTGTCCAGGAGGTGGGAGGTTCTGGGAGGGAGGGTCTGCTGCTGATTGGCTGGAATGTGTCTGCTGACTGTGAGGTACAGGGTCAAAGTTTACTCAATGGTGAGTCCGCGGCGAACCGTTCGGGACATCACTACTAATCATAACTACCTGTAACCTAACCTACATATTGCAATATTGTTGAGTGGTTGGAAGAGGAATATAGTGTGAACATTAAGCACTTGACTTTTACCTGAGGAAGGACACTCCAATACTGTCTGAAAGCCCCCAGGCAACTTATTAGCTTTGTTCTTTCATCCTCCGGTGTGTCCATAAACATACTGAAAAAAAAAAAAAAATTATATGCACTGTTGCATACACAGCTGAGAAAAACGAATGTGTCATGCATGTTTATAAGAAAATATAAAATAAGAATCTCACCCAGCAAAAGCTTCCTCTATCACTTCTGTTTTCTGTAAAATAAAGCACAAATAAATAAGAGCTAAAGAAATTGTGTGTTATTTATATTTACTAAAACACCTCATGTGCTTTCCCTTAATGATGATATCTTGCCATAACTGCTGGACAGATTTAAGTTTGTAACTGCAAAGGAGGCAAGGTGGAAGCACTACCTTGCATCTGTACATAAATGTAAAAATCATTAAAGATACAGTGTAGCAAAAAAAATGCATTGAGTAATTCAACAGTAGAAGAGACATGTTTGAACTGTTCTGATTACAGGGAATTTATTTAACCCATATTCCAAAACATAAAATGGGAGCTTTAATGTAGAAACCCACAGTAACAATGCAATATGAAAGTCGGGATTCAGGGGGGCGGGGGGGAACGACACAAAAAGAAGGCTGATAACTTTGACAAATGTTTGCTAACTATAGATGCATTAAATTGTTACATTGTCTAAAGGTAAACAAACTGCTGCCACTATAAAGTGCTTGGTGCAGTGGTTCTGCATTCTGGATTGTCAAAGTGCTGACCCTAGTTAAATGTCAAAACATTTAGGACAGGATTGACAAACTGGAATCTTCCTCCAGATAGATAATGAGGAATTAAGACTTCCCCAACATCAACTTTATTCATTGAGCACAACACTGACTGCCTGACAATGCTGGATCAGGAAAAAAATTCTCTCTAATTTTAATATAGTCACATCTTTACTAATTTTGCCTCAGTTTTGCAATTTGAAGTTTAAATAAGTACAATTCAGAGTGTACTCAACACCACTTTGCTTTTTCTAGAAGTCATTTAATCAGTTTTGATATTTGGATACTCTGGTTAAAGGAACACTATAGTCACCTAAATTACTTTAGCTAAATAAAGCAGTTTTAGTGTATAGATCATTACCCTGCAATTTCACTGCTCAATTCACTGTCATTTAGGAGTTAAATCACTTTGTTTCTGTTTATGCAGCCCTAGCCACACCTCCCCTGGCTGTGATTGACAGAGCCTGCATGAAATAAAACTGGTTTCACTTTCAAACAGATGTAATTTACCTTGAATAATTGCATCTCAATCTCTAAATTGAACTTTAATCACATACAGGAGGCTCTTGCATGGTCTAGCAAGCTATTAACATAACAGGGGATAAGAAAATCTTAATTAAACAGAACTTGAAATAAAGAAAGCCTAAATAGGGCTCTCTTTACAGGAAGTGTTTATGGAAGGCTGTGCAAGTCACATGCGGGGAGTGTGAGACTAGGATTCATAAACAAAGGGATTTAACCCCTAAATGGCAGATGATTGAGCAGTGAGGCTGCAGGAGCATGTTCTATACACCAAAACTGCTTCATTAAGCTAAAGTTGTTCAGGTGACTATGTCCCTTTAAATACAGTGTTTTATACCTAAAAATGAGGGGGGGGGGGAGTATTTTGTCATCTCTTTTGTATATTGTATACTATGTCAAGCTCGATAAATCCTGGATATGTTTTAGCCCACTCCCCCTGCAACAGCCAGCCTAGGGAGAATGTAGGTGGACAGCTAGGGAGTTGAAACCTTCCTGTTCTTGCTATGCTCCTTTGTGTGCCCTGCTGTGATACCGGGAGCTGGAATATGACATAAACCATGGCCCCAGCATCGCTAAACCTAAACAGCGCGTGAGGGAGCAGAGCAAGAGGAGCTTGAAGATTTCAGCAGCTACACTGGACCCCTTGGAAAGGATCCACTCCAGCTCTCCCAAAGGCAGGGTGGACTTAAAAGAAAAACATAATTTGTAAGTGTGTCTGTCCGTTAGTATGTGTGTTTCTGTCTGTCAGTGAGTGTGTGTTTGTTTAGGTGACCAACCTCAATCTGATCGCATGGGAAAAGTGTTTTTACTCACCAATTTTTCCATGCCGTGGAAGTCTCACCATGGTTGGCCCTGGCGTTATGGCCGAGTATCAATCTTGATGATCTCAGCCAAGCCAATGATTTTCCATAGCAAAATATTTGGAGGCTATTGCGCATGCACGGTAAAACTCTGCTCTGCGCCAATCAGCATCTCCTTTAGAGATACATTATATCAGTGCATCTCTATGGAGAACACTCAACGCCTCCACGAAGAGTGTGGAGACGGTGAACATAGGTACTACACAATGTTGGAAAAAGAAGCACCTCTAATGGCAGTTTCAGTGATTGCCACTAGAGGTGTTACCAGGCAGTAATGTAAACACTGTATTTTTCTCTGAAAACCAGAACAACTACATTAAGCTGTAGTGGTTCTAATGACTGTAGTTTCAGTTTTAAAGGACCACTATAGTGCCAGGAAAACAAACTCGTTTTTCTGGCACTATAGTGTTAATAGGACCCCCCACCCTCATGGCCCCCCTCCCGCCGTCCTCTAGGGGGAGGAAGGGGTTAAAGGCTTACCTTTCTCCAGCGCTGGGCTCCCTCTGCGCTGGGGACTCTCCTCCCTCTTCGACCAAATGCGCATGCGCGGCAAGAGCCGCACACGCAGTCAGTCCATAGGAAAACATTCTCAGAGCTTTCCTATGGACGCTGGCAGCTTCTCACTAAGAAAATCACAGTGAGAAGTGCCTTTAGCGGCTGTCAATGAGACAGCCACTAGAGGCTGGATTAACCCATATGTAAACAAGCAGTTTCTCTGAAACTGCTATGTTTATAGAAAAAAGTCTTAACCCTAGCTGGACCAGTCACCCAGAGCACTTCATAAAGCTGAAGTAGTCTGGGTGCCTATAGTGGACCTTTAAATTTGGCTAGTTTCTGCCCAGTTTATAAATAATGTAAATTTAAAAAAATGGTCCTGTGGTGAATAAAATCGTTACCTGTGGTGAAAAAACCCCCCACAAAACAATAAAGTATAATACAGACTAAAATGAGATGTGACTATAGCTGTCTCTTTTAGCCAGAGGTATAAAATAGTAATGTTGACCTATATTTTGGAACTCAATGGTTGAATTCCCTGTTTAGTGAATAAACCCTGTTATTTATCTAGTCCCAATAAAGCATGTTGATCTGTTGATTTGAATATTCAGGATACAGCACCGCAGCCATTGGAATGTACACACATAAACTATGTTATTTGTGTGGTTAATATATCTGTATTATTATGTATCAGACAATTAAATCATGGGACTCACCACCACCTCCTCGAAGATATTTTGTAGCTGGGTCTCCATATTGCTGGCTGTGTAGCACCACAGAGCGTGGTGCAATGCCAGGGACTCACACTATGCGCCGTGGTACATGTAATAAGTTAATCTTGACATTAGTAAATGTTTATTGTATCAAGAAAGAGACAACATGAGTGTGGGTTTCGGTCTTTAGCCTCCGGGTGGCCTGGTGCAGCACTTATTTTACTCCCCTTGGAAACAAGCGATTTCCGCCATAATGGGATCCACAAATGTCATCGCACATGCGCAGTTGGGACTGTCCGCAGGCTAAGGAGTGTTACGAGTTGAATGGGTTTATCCATTGCTGTGTGAAACTATTCCGAACTCCTTACTGTATTCGTTTTGGACTCCAATTCTAGAATGCTTAGCCAACTGCAGGCTGACTATGATCTGAAATGAGAAGCTTAATATTAATGACCTCAGTGGAATCCTTGAGCGCCCCCTATCAGTTCTTTTTTGTTAACCTATTTTACCTATTGTCTTCCCATCGTAGAAATTATTGCTGTTGTACAAGTAATAACAATAATTGTACATTGGTCTGTTATTTTATGACTGTGTGGTATCATTCTGAAATAGCACTCCTGAATCTTACATGGGGTATTTTGTTTTTTAAACTGCAAACTGTGGTTATTTAAAAATTAGATGCCAAACGCCAGGACATATTTCGTTTTCGGTAAACGTCAAATAATGCCCAGATGGCAAAATGCTGTGAAAATTACCGAAATCATTTTTTATATTTTTTATATTTACTAAGGCTAAATATATGTTTCCCTAGCGTCTTCAAAGTAAATGATGGGGGGGGTGGACAGTCACTGTCCACCAGCTCCTCTCCTCACCTGTTGCAAACAGATAGGAGCTGTATAATAAAAGAAAATAGGGGGAAGAACATCCTAATGTGCCCTAGCCTCTGCCCTCACCTTTGGTCAGCCAAAGAGAGAATTAGTATCCTCTTATTATAAAAGTGGGGAGACCTTATGTCCCCAGCTATCATCTTTTAGCAGCGGGTGGGGTCTCTAATAATATAATGTTCCCAGCCCTTAGATGGTCCCCAATCTCCTATCCAACCCTCTTAAAATAAATAAACCCTACCTACCCCCTCTTAACCTAATAATAGTTGAGGAAGTCATGAAAGCTATTACCTTTAAAAAAAAAATGACACTTACAGAAGTCTCCTCTCTTGTAAACCTTATATGCAGCCCCAAAAAGGCAAATCAAAAAAACATAATACATAATATTATAGAGCAACTCACAACAGTAAAAAGATCGTAAAATACATGGCAAAATTTATTTTTAAATAAAAAACATCAATCTTTGCTCTGCACGCAATGAGTCTTCAAAGCTGGAAACTTTATTTTGGGCTATGGAATGGTTAGTGTAGTGGAGCAAGGAGAGAGGAGGTGGGCATATTTCTGTGGCTTGACATATTAACCAGAAAGATCTGACCGTGGGGCACTTCCAAGAAATGTGTAACTCATCCCCATTCAGGGACCAACACCTCTAGAGGACCACTCCACCTAAGATAAATATTTGTATAGCCACATCGCAGTGTGGTAGCACCAGGTTGAAAATGAATTTGATCTGCAAATAGTAAAGGTTCTCTCTGTAATAGCACAAGTGAGCAAAAACAAGTTTGAGACCTGAGCAGGGACTAAACAAAGGGCAAGCTATTGAGGTATCTCTGAGCTTTTGACTGTTCTCAGAGCTCTCATATTTTCTGTTTTTCTGGAAACTAATTTGTAATCTCCAGAGTGCAATTGATGAAACGACAGTGGTGTTTGTCCTATGACAATGATGGCGAAACTATAGCACGCGTGCCAAAGGTGGCACGCCGGGCCCTTTCTGTGGGCACGTGGCCATAGGTTCACCATCAATGCAGTGTAGGCACCTGTAGTGTAGTACTCCTACCCACACAGAGCACCCCTCCCACACACACACACCACCCCTACCCCCAACACACACAGCCCTCCTACCCCCCACAGAGAACCCCTACCCACACAGAGCACCCCTTCCACACACACAGCACCCCTACCCCAACACACACAGTCCCCTTATCCCCCACAGAGTACCCCAACCCACACAGAGCACCCCTACCCACAACACACACAGCACCCCTCATACACACAGCACCCCAACACATAGCACCCATACCCCCTCAACACACAAACCTACCCATTACCCCCACCCTGCGCCCCTCACACACACCACACACACACACCCCTCACACACACACACCCCTCACACACACACACACACAAAACACCCCTCACACACACAAACACAGCACCACTTACACAAACACATACACTGCATCCCTCAATGCAGTATGTGTGTGTGTATTCAGCAGTCTGTGTGTGTGTGTGTGTGTGTGTGTGTGTGTATTCAGCAGTCTGTGTGTGTGTACTCAGCAGTGTATGTGTATTCAGCAGAGTATGTGTATTCAGCGGACTGTGTGTGTGTACTCAGCAGTCTGTGTGTACTCAGCAGTCTGTGTGTGTGTATTCAGCAGTCTGTCTGTATGTGTATTCAGCAGTCTGTGTGTGCATGTATTGCATTTGTTGGAGATACTAATTAATATAAGCTTAAATTGATCTATTTATATCCTTATTTAAAATTTGTATCATTGAACTCTCTGTTGTGTTCGTCTTTTAAAACAAAAGTTGTTAATTAGTTCGGACAACTGTACAAGTTGTGTTTTATAAATTTAAACATCAGTATTCAGGTTTAATTGCTGTGTTGGCACTTTGAGGAAACAAAAGATGGCATGTATTGCGGTTTGGGCACTCGGGCTCAAAAAGGTTCGCCATCACTGTCCTATGAGCTACAAAAACGAATGATGCCAGATTTATTGTACTCTGATATGAGAGTCAAGCTGACTGACCTCTCTAATTGTTGGTTAGTTATTTACCTTTTTTCTCTGAAACAAAACATAAAGCACTGTCTTTTGACAGTTTTTTCAAAGAAGTATTTTACAGTAAAAAAAAAACTCCTATCTCCAGTCTCTCCATAGATCATTGACTCACAAGCTTGACAATTAGCAACACCAAAGTTGTGCATGAGAATCCTGTCACGTATATGGCATTCCTGTCTAAAATATATGGAAAATAAAATTGTCACCACGTCAGTAAAAACAAACATTAGTTGACTGTTACTTTAAAGAGAACCCTCTATATTTCTTGTTTATTTTTAGTTTATTTTTTTCATTAAAATTTTAAGGAAGACAAATGTGGCCCCCTATGCAGTTGGTTGGTGTTGCCTCATTCGGTATGTAGTAAATGTGTTCATGTATCTAGAAGCACTTTTTTTAGAGGATGCAGTAAGCTCCTTGAGAGAACTGTCCCAAGGAGGACACCGATTCCTTAAAAGAAGGTGCATGATTAGATTTACAGTGTATTATTATTATTTATATAGCGCCATCACATTCCATAGCGTTGTACATTGGGTGGACTAACAGACATGTAATTTTAACCAGACAATTGGACATACAGGAACAGAGAGGTGGAGGGCCCTGCTCAGTGAGCTTACATTCTAGAGGGAGTGGGGTATAGTGACACAAATGGTAAAAGTAGGGGTACGAAGTAGGTTGTTAGAAAAGTATTATGAGTAGAGATAATGCATAATCATCATATGACAGGTGATAGAGCACCAAAGCTGTTTTCAGAGGAACCAAACTGAAAGAGGAGATAAGTGCAAGGTCGAAAGTCCAAGCAGGGCCAGATTGGGAATACAAATCAACCCTTGAAAAAAAATGTATGCCTGCCCTATAAATCATTGTTCCACGTAGTGTGTGTGTGTATATATATATATATATATATATATATATATATATATATATATATATTTATATAAAATATATGTTCAATCATCTGAGGTAGCAAGCCATATTGTAAATGGTTAAAATAATATTTCACATTATTGAGCAGTATGCAGGGCTGGACTGGGACAAAAATTCAGCCCGGGCAATTGCAGAGCAGCCCACTAGGAGGGGCAGGGCCAGAAAGGGGACATGTAATGTCACCACCATTAACACGCACCCCCCACCAAATAACTATTTGTGTTGTATTGTATGTCTAAAGGGGTCTGCTTGTGGCGTACTACGTGTGGCTAGGGGCTGTAGTGTGTGTGTGTGTTTCAGGGGTTGTAAAGTATGGGTGTATGTGCGTGCGTGTGTGTGTTTAGAGGGCCTGTGGAGTATGTGGGCCTTGGGGATGTAGTGTGTGCACACTGTACAGTGTGTTTGTGTGTGTATCTAGGGGCTCTAGTGTGCATATGCATATAGGGGCTATAGGGGCATAATTCTCTTAATGGTCAATGACTGTTTGTCTGACATACACTTGCTGTCAGTGTACATGTACCTTGTATCTGGTGTCTGTGTATTCCAAAGAGTGGATGTCATGAAAATATTATTATTCATTTTTTATTTATTTTTTAATAATGGCAGTTTTTTTTATTATTTCTACACAGTGTATGAATAATTTTAGAAAAATGTCATTATAAAAAACACTGTAACAAGTCATGTTTCAAAGATTAGCAGTCTCGTAGGTATCAAGCCTAAGGAATCATAGAATGAAGTTTTGACCAGGCGTTGAACACCTCTCAATCTGGTGTAGAGTTCCAAGCCGGTCTTTAAACGGAGGTTCCTGTGGGCTGGAGAAAGGGGGACTCCCCCTGGCACTTAGGTAGCAATTATTGGGAATGTTCCTCTTCACCTCCCCTCCAAGGAGCATTTTCATAAGTGCTTGTTTAAAGGACGGAAACAGTGTATAAATCTAACCGGTTGGATGCTGCTAGTGTGGCCACGCTGAAGTACCTTAAAATCAGGATCAGGTCCTGCTGGAGGCATAGTGGTTACTCCGGTCCCTAAGGGCACTGTTCCTGGTCTGGATGGGAATGCGCTTGGAGGTCATACATGGGAGACAGGTGAAGAAGAGCCAAGGGAGTGATTATAGTCTTTATAGAAAGAGTATAACCGAGTCCTGCACCAGTAGTCTAGGAAATATGCAGGCTCTGCCACAACTATCCTTTACTATTTTACCTTGTGAGGTGTGACTTAATGCATACTAGTTTATGTCCTTTGCTGACATATATAGTGACAGCTTAATAATACTTGTTACATATAAACTACATCTTTACATTATGAAACAGTGGCTTGAACCATGTTTGAGATGGATGTGCATATATACTGTATGTATGTATATGTAAATGGGCATTTACAATATATATATATATAGTTTCTAATATATTAGAATTGTTAAATATGCAACTGAATAGCGTATAGTATCAGTGCAGAGTCAGAAAAGTGAGCAATTCATGTTTTCATCCTACAGGCATTCTAAGAGTTATTAAAGCAAACAGTTTGTTCATGCCACTCAGTTTTGCAAAAAACATACAAACTTTTTCTGTGTCCAGTAAAGTGAAACATTTCGGTTAACCTTTTTTATTTGTTCACTGCCTTTATTACTTAAGCAAATATTTTATTACTTAGGGAAGTACTTTCCTATGGTTCCTCAGAAATGCCAATCTGTTAAATCGCTGTTAGAAGAATAGTTATAGAACAGATATAGTAGTTTAGTCTTTGACCTGTTGTTTGTGACATCTGAATCTTCCTGGTGTCACTCTCTACAATACGTAATCTCTCCTGGTATAAAGGAAGGGATCTTTCAGGCTAGAGTAAACAAAAGTGAGTTGAACCTCCACCTTGCTGCATGCTAAGAACTAACAAACTCAAAGTAGCACTGAATTTTGTGCACAGAGACAATGGACTCATCATCCTCAATGACACTGGATTTCCATGAACCTGTTAAAAAGAAAAAAGTGGATATATACAAGATTCTTTGTGTGGTAAGATTCTGTTTTATTTTAATATAACTGACACCATGCCCAAGATAATATCAGTATATTGTTTAACCGATTACAGAACCAGCATCTTTCATTTGTAAGTTTGTTTGGGCAGGGCTCGCTGCACCAACTGTTCCAGTTTGTCTGTCATGTTTGTCTTGTTTACC